ATTGGGGCTGCCCAGGCACTGGGGTTCTTTAAAGATTCCCAGATGATTGTAATTGCAGCCAAGCTTGGGAACCACTGCTTAGAACCTTCAGCTGTGATTAGCTACTGCCTCATGTCATACCAGGTATGTTAAAATCCATCCACATTTCATGTTAAATACAAGTGATGCATTAAATACAAGAGGTACATCTGGAGCCACGTTCATCAGTTTTACACTGACAATATTAACTTTTGTAGATATACAAGTAACACTTCAAAATTTTGGATTATGAAGTTTCCCTGTTTTAGAACCAATATATCTATGTCCACATCTCTTTCCCTCCTCTTCAGATGCTCAAACTTGAAGAGTCTCTAGACCAACACAGTATACTATACAATAAATTGAATACAGTAAAATAATACAATAAGCATGTACTATAAGTCACATATGTAATTCTAAATTTTCTCATAGGTACATTAAACAAGTAAAAAGAACAAAGTAAAATTAATTTTTACAATATATTGAATCCAATATATCTAAGATATTTCAACATGTAGTCAATATAAAAATAATTCAGATATTTTACTTTCAACGTTTCGTACTAAGGCTTCAAAATCTGGTCTGTACTTCACACTTACAAAAATCTGGTCTGTATTTCACATTTCATTTAGATTAGCCAAATTTCTGGTATTTGATAGCCAGATGTCGCTCGGGGCTACCATATGGGTTAAGTCTAGACCCAAGGACAGGAAAGTGCTCTTTGGCTTTAAAAGGGAGGAGAGTCAAGGGATGCAAAGGGCTGGTCTCCTGGCATGGGGCTGTTTCTTTGAGACTCTTGATATGGAGTCCCCCAGTAAGAGGGAGATGAGCCATGAGCCCTCAGACCTGAGAATCAACCCACCAAGAGCTGCTGTTCAGGTCACGGTACTCAGAGAAGGACAGTCATCCCTCCAAACCTTTCTAGGCTGTGCAAACTTGGTCAAGTTCCTAACCTCTGTGCCTCAGTTTCTTTATTTGTAAGATGGGAATGAGAATAGCACCTGCCTCACAGGACTAGACTATTTTCAATGAGTTACCACTTGTAATGGATTTAAACAGTATGTGGAAGAAAGGAACTGTTATCAATTTCCGTTTGAAGATAAACATTTTGCCACATGCCTCAGAGGAGATGAGATGTTGGCAAACATCCTGCTGAAAGAAAAGTAAGTAAACTAAAGAGAAGGAAAGCAGACAAGTTTACTCTTCTTTACTCAGGGATGTTAGGAGAAAGATATATTGGCCTGGGATGACTGGGGTATCCTCAACAGAACAAGGGGAACAAAGAATGAATTTGAGAGGAAATGTTCAAAGGCTCTGCTTTCAGGTCAGTGTTTCATAAACTCAGGAATCTTCAACTTCAAAGACGTTTTTATTTATGTTTTCATGTTGGTAATGACACAACACATCATCTATGCAGTAGGTATGTTGGGGTCATCTGGTTGACTGCCTTATACCCAAGGACTGGGGAGCAACATTCGTCCACACTGGGAGTCTTGGGAAAATGCTTTCTGTTAAAAGAAATCAGTACATGGATCACACATGACAATATTTGCTCTTGAGAGTAAAGATGCTCCTTACCCTAGGAGTGTGTGGTTTACAAGGGAAATTGAGATGGCTCGTCCAGTGTTCAAAGCTTATATCCCTCACATGAAACCAGAGTGGCAACCCATTGAAAGATATTATAACTGGGTTTGGGTTGGCAAACTTTAATTTTCCTGGAAGAAGAGCTTTCTTTACATAGAACCCCAAATGTTCTATGTCCGAAACATACTTTTGTGAAGTGGGCATTCCCTTTACCTTAAATCTAGAAGAGGAAATATGTGATCTTCTCCCTGTGCACACTCTGAAACACCGAGAGCAGAGGCCGTTCCACACAGGTGCCAGGGAAGCCATATTAGTAATGTTATACATAGTAATCATTTTAATGACTAAATATTTTAGCTCTTATAGACTGAGAATTAGCCATCCTTCAAAAAAATGTTTTTCGGGTTCTTATGTAAATTTTCATAGACATGCAAAAATGAGGCAATGAATATTTTAAAGTAGATTTATTTTTATAGAAATATTACATCCTCCTGATTCAAAAGACAGAGGTTAGTATTAAGAACAAAGTAAATATGTCCTTTCCTGCCATCCAGAAGTAATCATTGAACATGCTCATCTGCATCCTGTTGTTTCCCCTTAAAATTATATCTTGAACATTTTCACTCCTTTCTCTCTGTCTCTAATGTAAATGAACATGAATTATATATATAATTATGTACATGACCAAGTAGAAAACCATTCAGTCATTTAAATCATGCATATAGTATAATAGATAACAGTATATATATTACATCTAATATGTTATACATATATAAATATATAAATATGCACATATAAATATATTTGCATAATTATATTACATATTACAATGTTAATATATTTAACATGTATAATATATAGTTTATTAAATATTATATAAATATATAAATACATAAATATGCCCGATATAAATGACTGAATAGTTTTCCATTTGGTCATGTACGTAATTGTCTTTATCATTCTCACAGTTTACTTTTATATATTTTTTGTGTTTGTGTGTTTATGTGCACATGTGTGTGCCTGTGTTTGTGTGTGTGTGTGTTTGTGCGGCTATTTAAAGAACACTGAACTGAGAATTCCTGAGAAAAGGAGTTCTGCATTGTGTAACCATCTCTTGATGTCAAGTTTCTGGAATGGGTTTGTTGAGTCAAACGTAACCCACATCTGATATTTTGAGACATGTTGCAAACTACCCTCTAGAAATTCTGCACCAACTGACGCTTCCGCCAACTTCTTCCTCTGACTCAACCACAGAAGCGAGTCAGGCACCGCAGACTCTGAGTTGCTACCTTCTGTGCAGCTCTAAAATCTGCTCCTGCTTTCCACACCAATGACCTTATTAGGCTCAGACCAGACCTTCTGTAATGTAGATTCTTTTGCCAGTCTTATGATGGACTCTTGTCTTCAGTCTCCTCCCTTGTAGTCCAGTCTCCACGGTGGCCTCCAGGAAGATCTTTCTCAAACACAGTTTTGATCCTGTCCCTGCTCCATTCAAAACTCCTCCTTGATTCTCAATCCCTTTTCCATAAAATCCAGACTTAATGTGATTTTCAAGACTTGTTTAAATCTGGCCTCAGCTGATTCCCAACTGTCTTATCTCTTTTCACATTTTTCCTCCACTTGGTGCTCAATCCAAGCTAAAGGTTTGTGGTTCCTAACACATGAGGTAATACTTATTTACAGCATCTCTTTATCAAAAGTGATGGTAGGCTTTTTAATTTTATTTTTTAAATAAAAATTGTGTATGTTTAAGGTGTACATGATGACGACTATAGTTAATAATACTGTTTTGAACTCTGGAATTGCATCTTATAGACGTGGGTCCTTTGCTATCGCCTCTGCGGTTGATTTCTCCCCATCCTGTTAACTCCCACTGGTTAACACCCCATTGGTTATCACTTCCAGATAACTTGACCAACTGCATTGTTACAGAATATTCTACCTAACTTTCTTCACCTGCTAGACCAGGGGTTGGCAATGTTTTCTGTAAAGGGCCAGATAGTAAATATTTCAGGCTTTGTGAACGCTAATTCCTATCTCAGAGACTCAGCTTTGCCATGGTAGTGCAAAAGTAGCCACGGGCAATATGTAAATGAGCATGGCAGTGTTCTAATAAAGGTTTATTTACAAAGACAGGTGATGGGCCAAATTTGGCCCATGAAGCGTGGTTTGCCAATCTCTGGTCTGGTGTAAAGTTCACCAAAACTGCAGGCTGAGGGTCAGTGTCCTGTTTCTGTAAATAAAGTTTTACTGGAACATAGTCGCTCCAACCATTCATTTACATATGAAGTTTGCTGACTTCTGCACTATATCACTGGTTCTCAACCTTGGTTGCACGTTAGAATAACCCGGGAAGCCTTAAGAAATTTTACTGCCTGCAAGAGATTCTTATCTAATCAAAATGGTGGAAGGTGGAAATCTTTGTTTCCAGGATTTAAAGATTCTTTAGTTGATTTAAATATGCAACCAAGATTGAAAATCACAGTACTCGAGCCATATCTCTTAAGTTGTTGTCTCTTAATTGTCTGAATTTGAAACAGTGGGATTTTATACTTTTCCCGAGCCATAGAATCAATCTTCAACTCTCCTTCTCTATCTCCTTCCCCAACAATTCTCATCCAAACTAAAGTTTGGGAACCATTACACTAGACCAGGTGTTGGCAAATGTTTTCTGTCAAGTGTGAAATAGTAAATATCTTAGGCTTTGAGAGTCATCTGTTCTCTGTTGCATCTCTTTAACTCTGCCATTACAGTGTGAAAGCAACCACAGGTAATATGTAATGTGCAAATGAAACTGTATGACTCTGTGCCAATAAACCTTTACTTATAGACACTGAAATTTAAGTTTTGTATAATTTTTACAAGTTGGAAAATATTATTCTTTTTTCATATACTTCCATCCTATTTGGGGTCCTTTGGTCTTCATGAATATGGCTATGCCTATTAGCTTGATTGTGGTGATGGTACCACAGGTGTTTGCATGTGTCCAAACTCATCAAATTGCACACATTAAATATGTGCAGTTCTTCGTGTATCAATCAACCTCAATAAAACTGTTAAAATAGTATTCTTCTTTTGATTTTTTCAACCATATAAAATGTAGTGATGGCTGCACGACAGTGTGAGTGTACTTAATTCCACTGAACTTTACACTTAGGAATGACTAAGATGGTAAATTTTATGTTATGTACACTTTACCATTAAAATGAAGCCAAAAAAGGGAAAAAATATAAAAATGTAAAATATATGGGCTGTACAAAAACAGGTCGCTTGCTAGATTTGGCCCTTGGGCCATAATTTGTTGACCTCTACACTACACAAGAAATTCTTTGGCAAGTGGGATGGTTTTAGGATCTTTTCCATGCGTCTAGGTTGTAACACAAAACCTCACACTCAAGAGGATTTAAGTATATGTGTTTAATCGATGAATAATGAAAACTTATGAAAAGTTACTGCATCATTCTTTTGATAACTTTGGAGGGTTGAGGAATTGCTGGGCAATGACAGTAGAGATTCTGGAACTGATTGGGTGATAATCTTGAGGTCTCTAGATTCAGAGGGGGTGGCAGGACTTCTGAGTGAGAGGGGTCCCCTCAACCGGGCTGACGGCCTCAGATTTAGCATCAGCGATTCCAGAGGAGGGACCTTCCAATGGGCAGCTGTAAGTCCTATTGCCCATGAAATGCTGGCACCAGTGTGTGGCTTATTTTAGGGCAAGTATTGCATACTCGCTAGTCTGGGTCTGTCTGGGCAACGAGGGTGTGGCAGCTGTCCCCTGTGTGGGGACACTGCAGGTCACCTGGGAATAGGTGACCTCCTGAGGGTCTACAGCTTCAGAGGCCTGAGGAAGAAAGGGAGACTATGAAAAGCAGGTGTGACATGGGGGATTTCTGGGGGCAGCGTAGAGGAAGAAACTCTTACTTGTCCATCCGTTGGTCCATCCTTGAGCTGTCTCTCTTTCCTAGCAGCATCTAGAGGGAAGAGGAGATTGTCACGGACTGCATATTTGTGTCCCCTCAAAATTCATCTGCTGAAACCCTGACTCCCAATGTGATGGTATTTGGAGGTGGTGCCTTTGGGAGTTAATTCAGTTTGGATGACATCATGAGGGTGAAATTCTCATGCTGGGATTCGAGTCCTTCTAAGAAGAGGCCAGAGGTCTAGATGCCTGTCTCTCCACTGTGTGAAGACACAGCAAGACGGTGGCCATCTGCAATCGAACTCTCACCAGGAACCGAATTGTCAGCACCTTCATCTTGGACCTCCCAGCCTCCAGAACTGTGAGAAATGAATGTTGTTTGAGCCTCCCAGTCTACGGTATTCTATTATAGCTGCCAGAATGCACTAAGATGGAGGTGGTCATGTTTTCAGAGAGGGCTGTAGTGGATTCCCCCAGCTCTCTGTTCTGGTTTCCCAGATGGGAGCCGGGTTGCTAGAAGTGATGGTAATCAGAGCAGGAGGCAACAAAACAGCCCACACCTCCTTGCCTCTGGATTCCTTCAACCGCCTCCCCTGCTCCCAGCAAATTCCCCTCCCCATTTCTTCTGTACAATTTGCACCACCAGGGTCTCTGTGTGGGCTCCCCTCCCCCTTTCAAGAACATACTGTTTTTGGCCTTGCAACGGTGGAAGATGAATAGGAGGAGGAGGAGAAGGAGCAAGAGAGTAATGGCCACTGGGACTCCAATCAGAATGTTCTGGTATTTCTCCCAGGAGTTTTGGTTGTCAGGTGAGGCTACAAAAGAGACAATAGCTTTGGAGCAGCTGCCCTTTATAAGGTACCTTCACACAAGGCACAGTTTCTGGGTGCCGTCTCAGATCCCATCACAGTCTCAAAGCACAGAACTGTTGACCCCATTTCTTGGAAAAGAGGAATGAGCTTTGACCACCTCACAGTCATAGATGAGGAAGCACTTGGAAACGGAAATTTGTGTGAATATAGAGATCAGCACGTGACGCAGATCAAACCTGGCACATCACTGTTACTGTGTGGCCCATGAGCTCAGAATAGATTTTACATTTTTAAACTGTTGACACAAATCAAAAGAGGAACAATATTTTGCAACACGTGAAAGCTATCTGAAATCCAAACTTCAGTGACCGTTCGTACCGTTTCGTGGGAACATGACCTTGCTCCCTGGCTTTTGTATATTATCTGTGGTGGCTTTGGTGCTACAAAGTCAGAGTTGAGTAGCTGGGGAGACCAGATGCCCACAAAGCCCAAAACATCTACTATGTGGCCGATTATGGAAAATGTTTGCCCACCCCTGAAGTAGAGGAAGAACAGCTCAGGAAAGAGCCAGCAGAGAAATACAGAGCGTGATGATAGCAAAGCTGAGAGGAGAGCTCATTTCAAGAATTAAGAATTCAGCAGTTATATCGAAATTTGTATGGAAAAAGTATGCATTTGCACTTTGAAAAAGCAGCCACAGACAAGACATAAAGAATTCTTTATGTGTTGGCTAGATTCCAATAAAGCTTTTTCTTTTTTTTAACCAAACGAGCACCGAGCTGGATTTAGCCCTCAGACCAGTCTACCAATCTCTGTTCTGTCAATCTCTTAGGTATTTTGACCCCAATAGATTTTGTTTGCGAGCGTATTTGTCTTTTCCTTTAGGATTCTCTTCTCCCACTACCCACAGTGCCTGGATTATTTTATCTACTTGCTTTGTGATCTTCATGCTCAGCAATTCCACACTTGTGTCTCCAGTCCTTCATCCTTCTGGCTCAAGATTTATAAAGCTAACTTCCCATTGCACATTTCCCCCAGAATGAAGCACGGCCAACTCTAAAGCAACAAATCCAAGTTGAAACTTCTCCTCTTGCCCCTGATCTTGGAAACTCCTCATGTGTCTATTTCTCTGTGAATGGTCCCCCAATGCACCCACATCACAGGCACCGATAGAGAAGTGACTTGGGACTGGAAGTAAGTTCATATTAAATTCTTCTGAGCATATAGGCAGGGAGTGAGAGCGGCCGCACCACAAAAAGTCTTGTCTCAACAGTCCTTAGTCATGTACAGAATTTGCTTCTATATCTGTGGGGAAAATGGTGCTCAGAGGAGGGAAAAGACTTACTGAGGGGGGCACAGTGAATTAGTTGTAGAAACAGTTTTCATAATTTTAGTGTCATCAGCCCAGTATAGGGATGAAGCCTCCAGAGAACCCAGTTGAGTCTAGAGCTCACTAGAGCAATTATCCTGAGCTGATACTATGAGTATTTGCCCTTCTGGGAGTAGGGCAAATGGGTAAGGGGCTGTGAATCCTGGACGCTCTCAGGAATATTGGAAATGTGGATCAATGACGAATGACATCTATGGATAGTACTGATTTTATTTGCAATCCATACACTCTCTAACCTTCTGCTCATCCTTGTGGAGAGCAGTCCCTATATCTGTTTGCTGTCTCTGCCTCCAGCCATCAGAACTCCTCTTGAAAAGCTGGCTGTATTTCTGGTAAATAGCCTTCTACTCCAAGTCTGAGAGAAGAGAAAATGGAAACTCCTCCTTTCAGTTTTCCGCCTAAACTCAGTTACTCACCAGTTGAATTTTGGGGGTTTGTGGGGTCTCCATGGTCAGGAGATTCTGCAAATGGAGATGAAATGTGGGTGGTTTTCTTTCTCTCTGCTCAGGCTCTCTTCTATTTGGATGTTTTTTAAAGTTTTCAACCTAAACTCAGTTACTCACCAGTTGAATTTCGGGTGTTCATGGGGTCTCCACGGTCAGGAGATTCTGCAAATGGAGATGAAAGTGAGTGGTTTTCTTTCTCTCTGCTCAGGCTCTCTTCTACTTGAATGTATTTTACAGTTTTCCACCTAAACTTGGTCACTCACCTTTTGAATGTCGGGGATTCATGGGGCCTCGAAGGCCAAGAGCTTCTGTAAATGGGGATGAAATGTGAGTGGTTTTCTTTCTCTCTGCTCAGGCTCTCCTCCACTTGAATGTTTTTTAAAGTTTCAACCTAAACTCAGTTACTCACCAGTTGAATGTTGGGGATTCATGGGGTCTGGATAGTCAGGAGCTTCTGCAAATGGAGATGAAATGTGAGTGGTTTTCTTTCTCTCTGCTCAGGCTCTCCTCCACTTGAATGTTTTTTAAAGTTTCAACCTAAACTCAGTTACTCACCAGCTGAATGTTGGAGATTCATGGGGTCTGGATAGTCAGGAGCTTCTGTGAATGGAGATGAAATGTGAGTGGTTTTCTTTCTCTCTGCTCAGGATCTCCTCCAATTGAATGTTTTTTAAAGTTTCAACCTAAACTCAGTTACTCACCAGTTGAATGTTGGGGATTGATGGGGTCTGGATAGTCAGGAGCTTCTGCAAATGGAGATGAAATGTGAGTGGTTTTCTTTCTCTCTGCTCAGGATCTCCTCCAATTGAATGTTTTTTAAAGTTTCAACCTAAACTCAGTTACTCACCAGTTGAATGTTGGGGATTGATGGGGTCTGGATGGTCAGGAGCTTCTGCAAATGGAGATGAAACGTGAGTGGTTTTCTTTCTCTCTGCTCAGGGTCTCTTCCAGCCAGATTCCCAATGAGTACACTGCTGTTCCCAGCCCTTGGGCATGTGGTACGAGAGCAGCATTGGGGGTGAGGGGGAGTGAGTTCCTCCGAGCTTTTGTATAAACAGATGGTGCTGACACGGCCTTCCCACCCCACTGTCCTCCCTTTTCCCAGTCCCCGCTCTACCTGGACACTGTCAGTCTGCAGGAGGGGACCTGAGGATGGATGGGCTGGGGCTTCCTCACCTCTGACCTGAAGATGCAATGGGTCACTGGGGCGAGACCACACATAGGGGTAATGTTCAAAGAGTCCGTAGCATCTGTAGGTCCCAGTTTGTGTGGAGGAGACTTGATTCAAAAGGAAGACAGCCTCGTGATTACCACCCTGGTGGCTGGTGAGTTGGTTCTGGATGATGCGATCTCCATCTTCTTTGCGAAGAATAAATGCTTCAAACTTGAGTGTGGAGAAACATTGTAACTTCGCATTCTCCCCGGAAGCCACTACAGTTCCAGTCATGCTTGAGAGCAATGGTTTGTCATAAGCACCTGAGGAAGAAGGAAGTTTGGTGACAAAGGGAGGGACACCTGCATTGTTCGTTTTTGTTTCCCGGGAGCAGACATGGCTCTGGTTTCTATCACCTCATTGTCCTGCCCTGAGGAGTCTGTCTCTGCCTCACCTCTGATTCCTTCCTAGGGATAGAGGTTTTGGTCCTCTGTGCTTGATATCTGCAATGTCTAGTACTTCGCTCTGCAAAGAGGTCAGTCCTGGCTCTGCTGCCTCTGTGTCCCACTCACCGGTCATCACCAGCTGCAGGGGCTCACTGAACTGGGACCAGCTGCCTCCACTCTGATAGGAACAGTGGTACAGCCCTGTCCTGTCTGGTGTCATCTCTGTGATACTGAAGCTGTTGATCGTCTTAGACAGCAGTTGTTTCTCTCTGTCCGAGGGCTCAGGGCTTCCCACTTTAGATATCACATATTCTTCAGCGTCTGCAGGCCCTTGGCACAGGATGGTCACAGGATTCTTAGATCCAACCGTGGATCCAGGCAGAGCTGTGATGCGAGGTGGGGAGAGATTTCCTAGAAGGAAGGGAACAGGCATGGACTTACAGGTGTGTGGGTTTCTCATGCCGTCCTTCCACTCCTCTCCTCTTCCAGCCACTGGCCCAAATGTGGAGTCCCGTCTTCCCAGCAGTCAAGAGAACTGATATCTGGCCTAAACCAGGAGTAGGGTCCTGGGAGTGTTAAGAGGAATACTCACTGTTCTGTGCCTGAGTGTTCTGGCCTAGATACAACCCTGGAAGGAAACAGCGGGTGAGACAGTTTAGCCTCCTAGAACTGCTGGACCTGCCCCCCTGTAGCCTGTATTTGTAGCTGGGCCCTTCTCTCTCAGACTCACCAAGACAGAGCAGGGAGGGAAGCACCACGGACATGGTCCTGTGCCCAAGTCGGCCTGCTGGCCCCAGCAGTGCTGCTCTGATCAGGAACAGGCTTGTCTGCAAGTGACACAGACCTCCAGGAAGTGTGGGATGGCGTAGTTCTCAACCTTAGAGTGAAGGCAATCCACATCCTCTTTCCTCCTCCTGGGTGGGGCTTGCAGAAGTGCCTGACATCATGAAGACGTTCATCACCTGAACTTCCACCTACAATCAGTCCAACCTGATCCCTACTTCCTGTCCCAATGCCACATGAGCCTTTTAAAGTTTGTATATAAAGCCAGCGGTAAGAGAAATCACAGGCAAGGAGCAGGACCGAAATAACTGCCAGGACTGCTCTGACAGACCGTGTGAGCTTGTAGCTCTCGCTTTGTAACACTGAGATTATATCTCTTTGTGTACAGCAGGGGCAACGATAACGAACTTCTGAAAAGCTGTCCTCACAGCGTGAGCACGTTGTCCAGAACAGGCTCTGCCAGAGAGGCAGTAGCGTAATTATTAGTTCTTCCTCTTCGTCCGTCGATAGTCCCAACACGTTGTTGGCATCGATCCTGTCCATGGGGAAAATGGTGAACCTAAAGAAGGTACTTTCATTGCATTTTGTCACAGCTTAGTTCTCAAACCATCACACTGGCTGAACCTTACTGAGCAGCTATTCTGTCCATTCTTCTGGATCCATATGTAATTTAGATTTAAAATCTTCCCCTCGGGGGCAGCCCGGTGGCACAGTTGTTAAGTGGGCATGTTCCTCTTTGGCGGCCCAGGGTTCACCGGTTCGGATCCCGGGTGTGGACATGGTGCCAATTGTCAAGCCATGCTGTGGCAGGCATCCCGCATATAAAGCAGAGGAAGATGGACACGGATGTGAGCCCAGGGCCAGTCTTCCTCAGCAAAAAGACAGGATTGTTAGCAGATGTTAGCTCAGGGCTAATCTTCCACAAAAAAGAAAAAAAAAAATCTTCCCCTCATTCTGTTGACATGAGGCATTCTTCTCCATAAATCTGAAATAATTTAATAGTAACCCTCACTGAGTTTTCCTTTACGAAGATCACATGGGGGAAGGTTACTTATAATCTTCAACAAAATGGTGGTGGGTTGGATTATTCCACCAAGTTATTTAGTCAGCTCTTAATTCATCAGAGTCTTGGACCTTAGGTCCATTTGTAGAATCATATATAGTTCTGCAAAATCACAAATATCTCCTGCTTCTGCTCAAATTTCTGTTTGGTTGTTGGGCATTACCAGCGTCTTCACAGCCCAGTCAATTAGGCTCAGACAAATCAGATCCCTATGTCTGTATCCTTGGGTCACGGCCTGGTCATAGAGAAACGTGATGTGGAGTTTGTGATTGGAGGTGTTGGTGGCTGAGGAGAAGGGGTTTCTCCAGGACTGAGAAGATAATGGAAGGTTCCAACTCAGAGGAAGAGGCCGACAGGTCAAAAGTGGTTACACAGGGCTTTCCTCTCTTTGACACCAGGGGAAGTATCCATATCTGTCTGACTCTCTATCTATCATCTCTCTCATCTCTCTCTCTCTCTCTCTCATTTCTCTCTGTCTTTCTATTTATCCATCATCCCCCTACATATTTCCATCATGTATATCTCTCATTTATCCCTATTTATTTATCATTACCTACATCTATCTATTAAACTTTACCATCATCGTCTCTCATCCATACATCATCTATCATTTATGTGTCTTTTATTGCCCTATCAATACCTATGTCTCATCTGTCTATGATCTATCTATCTATGATCTATCTGCCTATGGTCTATCTGTCTCTGCCACTGAACCATTAAAAGAGTCAAGAACATAGCAGTCACTATTTCCCAGGAGAACCATTTCCAGTCACATTAATTACTGTTTCTTTGCTCTCAAACTATTTGGACTCATTTTTTTTTTTAAAGATTTTTTATTTTTCTCCTTTTTCTCCCCAAAGCCCCCCGGTACATAGTTGTATATTTCGTTGTGGGTCTTTCTAGCTGTGGCTTGTGGGACGCTGCCTCAGCGTGGTCTGATGAGCAGTGCCATGTCCGTGCCCAGGATTCGAACCAACGAAACACTGGGCCGCCTGCAGCGGAGAGCGCGAACTTAACCACTCGGCCACGGGGCCAGCCCCTATTTGGACTCATTTTTAAAGGATATCTCATAGGACTGGATTGTTGTGTTCTAAAACCTGCTGTCTATTTTTTACAGTCTGAGGACTAAGAACAATTTTTACATTTTTAAAGGATGGAAAAAAATAAAAAAAATTTAATATTTTGTGATTCAATGAAGATGATTTGAAATTCACAATTTAGTGTTTGTAAACAAATTTTATTGGAACCCAGCCAGGTTCGTGTGGCTCTGTGTCACCTACAGTAGCTTTTGTGCGACAACAGCAGAATTGAGTGGTCGTGAAGAAGATCAGAAGACTGACAAAGCCCAATATATTTACTATTTGTCCGTTAGAAAAAGCTGTCATTTAGAACATGACAGTGACGGCAGGAAGAGTCTGAGCAGGCGTTCAGATAAAACATCCAAGAAAAAGTTATGCATGTGCTAACACTGAGAAAAAGTGTAGGAATTAGCCAGAAGAAGGGAAATTTGGTGAGGTGACAGCAGCCAGTGTTAGAGAGCTCTTAGAGAGTGTCATCACGGGGCAGAGAGGAGAACAAAGAACAAGTGGTGGACCTTAGACTCTACCTGTGTCTACAGAACGGAGTATCCTTCTTGTTAAACTCTGAGGATATTTGTGATTTACTTCAGTAGGTTGGAGCTAAGAGTTCCAGAATGATTTCATCAACTCAGCTGTAACAGGAGTCTGATCTGACCATTCTGTGAGTCTGTTGTTTTAGTGCCATGCTCTTAAAGGTGTTCCTTTTCAGAAAAAACAAAAATAAACCCCAAACTGGAACAATGGCTAACATCACAAACATCGGTGTTACTTGAATCGTGAAAGAAACACACCAACATAAACGTTCATACTTTTACATTTGCTTTGTATATTCTGTAAATTAAAAGTAAAGGACGTTATTGAAAAAAATCAGCATTTCTATTCCTAGACCAATTTTTTTCCCCTCAAGTGCAATAACTCCGGAACTTACACATTCAGACATACAGAACCAGGATTCGTTAAGCATCTCTCTCTCTCTATTTAGATCATGTCCTGTCTCAAATTCTAAAGAATATTAAATATTCAATCCCCACGTCTCCCCCAGGAGTTAGTGCACAAGTGCAAGCACAGCCCTGCGCTATGGTCAGATATACTGAGCTCCGGGAGGTCGGCTGAATGGTCCCCCTCAAGTTGTGCTCGTCTAATTCCCAGAACTGTGAGTGGGACCTGCCACAGCAAAGGGACATTGTGAGGCGAGGAAGATGAGAATCTGGAAACTGAGAGATTATCCTGGATTATCTTCTTGGGCCGAATGTCACCACAAGGGTCCTTATAAGAGGGAAGCAGGAGGGTGGGAGCAAGAGAGAGAAGAAGGCGGGAAGGAAGCAGAGGTCAGAGAGGAGAGAAGATGCTACACTGGTGGGTTTGGAGATGGAGGAGGGATCCAGAAGGCAAGGAATGCAGGCGGAGCCCAGAAACTGGAAAAGGCAGGAACACAGACCACAGCCTAAAAGAGGAACGCAGGCCTGCAGACACTTTTTAGACTCCTGCTCTCTAGAACGAAAAGAAAATGAATTGGTGTTGTTTTAAACTGAAGTGTCTGGGGTAGGTTGTTACAGCTTCAACAGGAAACGAATCTTCTTCATTATCTCAGTAGATGACATGGCCAGGGCCCTATCTCCTCTAGCTGCTCCCCCAGGGTCCACACAATCCTCAGATGCCAAAAGAGGGACATCAGTGCTGTCATTACACTCAGGTGGGGGCTTGTCTGTGTCCATTTAAGGGCATCTTCCGGCTGTACCAGGCCTCAGCCAAGAGCATCCCCAGGACCAAGAGAATCAGGCCAGCCATGCTCAGCCGGACTTGATTCTCTGCAGAAAGATGCCAAGCAGCAGGCTCTGCGAGAAAAAGGACAGAAGGGTACAGAAGAGGCATCAAGGCCCATTCTGCTAACATACTCCAAAACCCGAGCCCATTTCTCCAGTCTACTGGCTCTGGCATGTAGCCTGCCCAGCAAACCCCTCACTGGATAAGCCATTACTTACCTTTCGTTCCTCCTGTCATTGAGACTGTGGTGGTGATCCTGACAGGGAATTCTGTGATCAAGAAAGACAGGAGTTGGGAACAGGGTACCTCTTCTTGCCCATTGGAGCCCTGTCTGCTCTTTCCTTGCTATTTCCCTGTGATAAGCCATGGACTCAGCAAACAGGGACTGTCCCCCTTGACAGTCTGTGGGCACATGAAGCTTCTCTCTACCTCATGCCTTTTGCACCTGCTCTTCCCTGTGCCTGCCCTGCTCCTTCTACAAAGATCAGCAGTTATCAGGTGAACGTCTGGCGTTCGTGGGATCGGGATCGTCAGAAGATTCTGCAAACGGGGCTGAAATAGGAGTGGTTTTCTTTCTCTCTGCTCAGGCTCTCTTCTAACCGGACTCATAAAGACTGCACGGCCCTTCCCTGGCCCCTGGGCTTGTGGTAGGATAGCAGCATTGTGGGACATTGGGGGTGATTTCCTCTGAGCTTTATGTATAAACAGATGGTGGCGACATGGCCTTCTCACCGTGCTGTCCTCCTTTTCCCAATCAATGCTTTCGCTGGACACTGCCAGTCTCCAGGAGGGGACATGAGAATGGATGGGCTGAGGGTTCCTCACCTCTGTTCGGAAGCTGCAACCGGTCACTGGGGTGAGGCTGCCCATGGAGGGCATTGCTGAAGACACCGTAGCATCCTAGACACTCTCAGGAATACTGGAAATGTGGATCAATGACGAATGACATCTATGGATAGTACTGATTTCATTTGCAATCCATACACTCTCTAACCTTCTGCTCATCCATGTGGAGAGCAGTCCCTATATCTGTTTGCTCTCTCTGCCTCCAGCCATCAGAACTCCTCTTGAAAATCTGGCTCTATTTCTGGTAAATAAGCCTTCTACTCCAAGTCTGAGAGAAGAGAAAATGGAAACTCCTCCTTTCAGTTATCCACCTAAACTGGGTTACTCACCAGTCAAATGTTGGGGGTTCATGGGGTCTCGATGGTCAGGAGCTTCTGCAAATGGAGATGAAATGTGGGTGGTTTTCTTTCTCTCTGCTCAGGGTCTCTGCTACTTGATGTATTTTAGAGTTTCAACCTAAACTCAGTTACTCACCAGTTGAATGTCGGGGATTCATGGGGTCTGGATAGTCAGGAGCTTCTGCAAATGGAGATGAAATGTGGGTGGTTTTCTTTCTCTCTGCTCAGGGTCTCTGCTACTTGATGTATTTTAGAGTTTCAACCTAAACTCAGTTACTCACCAGTTGAATGTCGGGGATTCATGGGGTCTGGATAGTCAGGAGCTTCTGCAAATGGAGATGAAATGTGGGTGGTTTTCTTTCTCTCTGCTCAGGGTCTCTGCTACTTGATGTATTTTAGAGTTTCAACCTAAACTCAGTTACTCACCAGTTGAATGTTGGGGATTCATGGGGTCTGGATAGTCAGGAGCTTCTGCAAATGGAGATGAAATGTGAGTGGTTTTCTTTCTCTCTGCTCAGGGTCTCTTCCAGCCAGATTCCCAATGAGTACACTGCCGTTCCCAGCCCTTGGGCATGTGGTATGAGAGCAGCATTGGGGGTGAGGGGGAGTGAGTTCCTCCGAGCTTTTGTATAAACAGATGGCTCTCACACGGCCTTCCCACCCCACTGTCCTCCCTTTTCCCAGTCCCCGCTCTACCTGGACACTGTCAGTCTGCAGGAGGGGACCTGAGGATGGATGGGCTGGGGCTTCCTCACCTCTGACCTGAAGATGCAATGGGTCACTGGGGCGAGACCACACATAGGGGTAATGTTCAAAGAGTCCGTAGCATCTGTAGGTCCCAGTTTGTGTGGAGGAGACTTGATTCAAAAGGAAGACAGCCTCGTGATTACCACCCTGGTGGCTGACAAGTTGGCTCTGGATGATGCGATCTCCATGTTCTTTGCTAAGAATAAATGCTTCAAACTTGAGTGTGGAGAAACATTGTAACTTCGCATTCTCCCCGGAAGCCACTACAGTTCCAGTCATGCTTGAGAGCAATGGTTTGTCATAAGCACCTGAGGAAGAAGGAAGTTTGGTGACAAAGGGAGGGACACCTGCATTATTCATTTTTGTTTCCCAGGAGCAGACCTCGCTCTGGTTTCTATCACCTCATTGTCCTTCCCTGAGGAGTCTGTCTCTGCCTCATCTCTGATTCCTTCCTAGGGATAGAGGTTTTGGTCCTCTGTGCTTGATATCTGCAATGTCTAGTACTTCGCTCTGCAAAGAGGTCAGTCCTGGCTCTGCTGCCTCTGTGTCCCACTCACCGGTCATCACCAGCTGCAGGGGGTCACTGAACTGGGACCAGCTGCCTCCACTCTGATAGGAACAGTGGTACAGCCCTGCCCTGTCTGGTGTCATCTCTGCGATCCTGAAACTGTTGATCGTCTTAGACAGCAGTTGTTTCTCTCTGTCCGAGGGCTCAGGGCTTCCCACTTTAGATATCACATATTCTTCAGCGTCTGCAGGCCCTTGGCACAGGATGGTCACAGGACTCTTAGGTCCAACCGTGGATCCAGGCAGAGCTGTGATACGAGGTGGGGAGAGATTTCCTAGAAGGAAGGGAACAGGCATGGACTTACAGATGTGTGGGTTTCTCATGCCGTCCTTCCACTCCTCTCCTCTTACAGCCACTGGCCCAAATGTGGAGTCCCATCTTCCCAGCTGTCAAGAGAACTGATATCTGGCCTAAACCAGGAGTAGGGACTTGAGGGTATTTAGAGGAATACTCACCCTTCTGTGCCTGAGTGCTCTGGCCTAGACACAACCCTGGAAGAAAACAGCGGGTGAGACAGCCCAGACTCCTAGAACTGCTGGACCTGCCCCCTGTAGCCTGTATTTGTAGCCAGGCCCTTCTCTCCCAGACTCACCAAGACAGAGCAGGGAGGGAAGAACCAGGGACATGGTCCTGTGCCCAACTCGGCCTGCTCTTCTGAGGAACAGACTTCTCTGCAAGCGACACAGACCTCCCGGAAGTGTGGGACGGCCTAGTTCTTCCCCTTAGGGTGAAGACAATCCACATCCTCTTTCCTCCTCTTGGGCGGGGCTTGCAGAAGTGCCTGACATGCTGAAGATGTTAATCGCCTGAATTTCAATCTACAACTAGTCCAACCTGATGCCTACTTTCTGTCTCCAATGCCACATGAGCCTTTTAAACTTTCTATATAAAGCCAGTGGTAAGAGAGATCACAGGCAAATGGCAGGACTGAAATAACTGCCAGGACTGCTCTGAAAGACACGTGAGCTCATGGCTCTTGTTTCTTAAGGCTGAGCTTCCGTCTCTTTGTTTACAACATGGGGCCATGATAATGAGCTTCTGAAAAGCGGTACTCACAGTGCGTGCCCAGTGGCCGGAAGAGGTTCTGCCAGAGAGATGGTAGCGTAATTATTAGTTCTTACTCTTCCTCTGTTACAGTCCCAACAATTGTTGGCACTTATCTTGTCCGAGATGAAGCACCTAAACACGGTACTTTCATGGGTTTGTCACAGCTTTGTTCTCAAACTATCACAGTGGCTGAACCTTCCTGAGTAGCTATGGCATCCATTCTTCTGGATCAATGTGTAATTTAGGTTTAAAATCTTCCCCTCGTTCTACCTATGTGAGGCACTTTTTTTCATGAATGTGAAATAATTTAATAGTAACCCTTCCTGAGTCTTTATTTATGAACATTACATGGTGGAAAGTTACTTATAATCTTCACCATAACAGTGGTAGTTTGGATTATTGCGTCAAGTTATTTAGTCAGCTCTTTTTTTTTTTTGAGGAAGATTAACCCTCACCTAATTGCTGCCAATCCTCCTCTTTTCGCTGAGGAAGACTGGCCCTGAGCTCACATCTGTGCCCATCTTCCTCTACTTTATACGTGGGACGCCTACCACAGCATGGCTTGCCAAGTGGTGCCTTGTCTGCACCTGAGATCCGAACTGGGGAACCCCAGGCTGCTGAAGCGGAACGTGCAAACTTAATGGCTGCGCCACCGGGCCGGCCCAATAGTCAGCTCTTAATTCATCAGGTTCTCTGGACTTTGGATCCATTGGTAGACTCATATATAGTTCTGCAACATCGGAAATATTTGATTTCTGACAGGTCAGAAGTGGTTACACAGGGCTTCCCTTTCTTTGACACCAGGGGAAGTATCCATATCTATTTATCTATGTCTCTTTATCTTTCGTGTACCTTATCTCTATCTGTCTGTCTATCTATCTGTCTATCTATCTGTCTATCGATCTATCTATCTATCTATCTACCTATGTACCTATCCTCTCTCTGTGTCTTTCTCTCTATTTATCCGTCATCTACCTAGATATTTGTATCATATTTATCTCTCATTTATCTATATCTATCACTTACCTCTGTCTATTTATTAAACTTTACCATCATCGTCTCTCATCTATCCATCATCTATTATTTATCTGTCTTGTATTTATCAATCAATATCTATATATCATCTGTCTATAATCTATCTATCTATCTATCTATCTATCTATCTATCTATCTATCTATCTATCTTCATCCTCTGAAATAGGGAGCCCTTGAACACACCAGTTGCTATTTCCTAGGAGAACCATTTCCAGACACAGTAATTAGTGTTTCTTTTCTCTCAAGCTAAGTGTTTCTTTTCTGTCAATTTTTGAAGGACAATTCATAGGACTAGATTGTTGTGTTCTAAAACTTGCTGTCTGTTTTTTACAGCCCCAAGAGTAAGAACAATTTTTACATTTTTAAATGCTTGAAAAAATGAAAAAAATTAATATTTTTTGGCCCATGGAGATGATTTGAAATTCAAGTTCAGTGTGTGTAAACAAATTTTATTGGAACACAGCCATGCCTTTGTGGCTATGTGTCACCTGAAGTAGTTTTGTGTGACAACAGCAGAACTGAGTGGTTGCAAAGAAGATGAGATGACTCCCAAAGAAGAGAAATTTAGTAAGGGAACAGCAGCCGGTAGCAGAGAGCTCTTTGAGAATCTAATCACAGGGCAGAGATGAGACCAAAGGGCAAGTGATGGAACTTAGTATCTCCATGTCTCTACAGAACACAGTATCCACCTGGTTTAAGTGTGAGGATATTTATTCTTTACTTCAGTAGATTGGAGCTAAGAAGTTCCAGAATGATTTCATCCGCTCAACTATAACAGGAGTCAGATTTAACCATTCTGTGAGTCTGTTGTTTTAGTGTCATGCTTTTAAGGACGTTCCTTTTCAGGGGCTGGCCCGGTGGTGCAGTGGTTAAGTACGCACGTTCCTCTTCTCGGCGGCCCAGAGTTCGCTGGTTTGGATCCAGGGTGCGGACATGGCACAGCTTGGCACGCCATGCTGTGGCAGGCTTCCCACATATAAAGTAGAGGAAGATGGGCACGGATGTTAGCTCAGGGCAAGGCTTCCTCAGCAAAAAGAGGAGGACTGGCAGTAGTTAGCTCAGGGCTGATCTTCCTCAAAAAAACAGAAAAAAAAAAGATGTTCCTTTTCAGAAAAAACAAAAATAAACCCCAAACTGGAACAATGGCTAACATCACAAACATCGGTGTTACTTAAATCGTGAAACAAACACACCAACATAAACGTTCATACTTTTACATTTGCTTTGTATATCCTTTAAAGTAAAAGTAAAGGACGCTATTGAAAAAATCAGCATTTCTATTCCTAGACCAAGTTTTCTCCCCTCAAGTACAATAAGTCAGGAACTTACACATTGTGACATACAGAAGCAGGATTCGTTAAGCATCTCTCCCTCTCTATTTAGATCATGTCCTGTTTTAAATTCTAAAGAGTATTAAATATTCAATCCCCACGTCTCCCCCAGGAGTTAGTGCACAAGTGCAAGCACAGCCCTGCGCTATGGTCAGATGTACTGAGCTACTGGAGGTCGGCTGAATGGTCCCCCTCAAGTTGTGCTCGTCTAATTCCCAGAATTGTGAGTGGGACCTGACACGGCTAAGGGACATTGTGATGTGAGGAAGACGAGACTCTGGAAACTGAGAGATTATCCTGGATTATCTTCTTAGGCCCAATGTCACCACAAGGGTCCTTATAAGAGGGAAGCAGGAGGGTGGGAGCAAGAGAGAGAAGAAGGCGGGAAGGAAGCAGAGGTCAGAGAGGAGAGAAGATGCTACACTGGTGGATTTGGAGTTGGAGGAGGGATACAGAAGGCAAGGAATGCAGGCAGAGTCCAGAAACTGGAAAAGGCAGGAACACAGACCACAACCTAAAAGAGGAACGCAGGCCTGCGGACACCTTTTAGACTCCTGCTCTCTAGAACGAAAAGAGAATGAATTGGTGTTGCTTTAAACCGAAGTGTCTGGGGTAGGTTGTTACAGCTTCAACAGGAAACGAATCTTCTTCATTATCTCAGTAGATGACATGGCCAGGGCACTATCTCCTCTGGCTGCTCCCCCAGGGTCCACACAGTCATTAGATGTCAATAGAAGGACATCGGTGCTGTCATTACACTCAGGTGTGGGCTTTTCTGTGTCCACTTAAGGGCATCTTCCAGCTGTACCAGGCCTCAGCCAAGAGCACCCCCAGGACCAAGAGAATCAGGCCAGCCATGTTCAGCCGGACTTGATTCTCTGCAGAAAGATGCCAGGCAGCAGGTTCTGCGAGAAAAAGGAGAGAAGGGTACAGAAGAGGCACCAAGGTCCATTCTGCTAACATACCCCCAAACCCGAGCCCATTTCTCCAGTCTACTGGCTCTGGCATGTAGCCTGCCCAGCAAACCCCGCACTGGACCAGCACTTACTTACCTTTTGTTCCTCCTGTCATTGAGACTGTGGTGGTGATCCCGACAGGGAATTCTGTGATCAAGAAAGACAGGAGTTGGGAACAGGGTGCCTCTTCTTGCCCATTGGAGCCCTGCCTGCTCTTTTGTTGCTATTTCCCTGTGATAAGCCATGGACTCAGCAAACAGGGACTGTCCCCCTTGACAGTCTGTGGGCACGTGAAGCTTCTCTCTACCTCATGCCTTTTGCACCTGCTCTTCCCTGTGCCTGCCCTGCTCCTTCTACAAAGATCAGCAGTTATCAGGTGAACGTCTGGCGTTCGTGGGATCGGGATCGTCAGAAGATTCTGCAAACGGGGCTGAAATAGGAGTGGTTTTCTTTCTCTCTGCTCAGGCTCTCTTCTAACCGGACTCATAAAGACTGCACGGCCCTTCCCTGGCCCCTGGGCTTGTGGTAGGATAGCAGCATTGTGGGACATTGGGGGTGATTTCCTCTGAGCTTTATGTATAAACAGATGGTGGCAACATGGCCTTCTCACCGTGCTGTCCTCCTTTTCCCAATCAATGCTTTCGCTGGACACTGCCAGTCTCCAGGAGGGGACATGAGAATGGATGGGCTGAGGGTTCCTCACCTCTGTCCGGAAGCTGCAACCGGTCACTGGGGTGAGACCACACATAGAGGGCATTGCTGAAGACACCGTAGCATCCTAGACACTCTCAGGAATACTGGAAATGTGGATCAATGATGAATGACATCTATGGATAGTATTGATTTTATTTGCAATCCATAGGCTGTCTAACCTTCCGCTCATCCTTGTGGAGAGCAGTCCCTATTTCTGTTTGCTCCCTTTGCCTCAAGCCAGAACTCCTCTTGAAAATCTGGCTCTATTTCTGGTAAATAAGCCTTCTACTCCAAGTCTGAGAGAAGAGAAAATGGAAACTCCTCCTTTCAGTTTTCCACCTAAACTTGGTTACTCACCAGTTGAATGTTGGGGATTCATAGGGTCTCGATGGTCAGGAGTTTCTGCAAATGGAGATGAAATGTGGGTGGTTTTCTTTCTCTCTGCTCAGGGTCTCTTCCAGCCAGATTTCCAATACCTACACTGCTGTTCCCAGCCCTTGGGCATGTGGTAGGAGAGCAGCACTGGTGGTGAGGGGGAGTGAGTTCCTCTGAGCTTTTGTATAAACAGATGGTGCTGACACGGCCTTCCCACCCCACTGTCCTCCCTTTTCCCAGTCCCCGCTCTACCTGGACACTGTCAGCCTGCAGCAGGGGACCTGAGGATGGATGGGCTGGGGCTTCCTCACCTCTGACCTGAGGATGCAATGGGTCACTGGGGGAGACCACACATAGGGCTCACGTTCAAAGAGTCCGTAGCATCTGTAGGTCCCAGTTTGTGTGGAGGAGACTTGATTCAAAAGGAAGACAGCCTCGTGATTACCACCCTGGTGGCTGACGAATTGGTTCTGGATGATGCGATCTCCATCTTCTTTGCTAAGAATAAATGCTTCAAACTTGAGTGTTGAGAAACATTGTAACTTCACATTCTCCCCGGAAGCCACTACAGTTCCAGTCATGCTTGAGAGGGACGGTTTCTCAAAAGCACCTGCGGAAGAAGGAAGTTTGGTGACAAAGGGAGGGACACATACATGCATTGTTCGTTTTTGTTTCCCAGGAGCAGACATGGCTCTGGTTTCTATCACCTCATTGTCCTGCCCTGAGGAGTCTGTCTCTGCCTCATCTCTGATTCTTTCCTAGGGATAGAGGTTTTGGTCCTCTGTGCTTGATATCTGCAACGTCTAGTACTTCGCTCTGCAAAGAGGTCAGTCCTGGCTCTGCTGCCTCTGTGTCCCACTCACCGGTCATCACCAGCTGCAGGGGCTCACTGAACTGGGACCAGCTGCCTCCACTCTGATAGGAACAGTGGTACAGCCCTGTCCTGTCTGCTGACATCTCTGCGATCCTGAAACTGTTGATCGTCTTAGACAGCAGTTGTTTCTCTCTCTCTGAGGGCTCAGGGATTCCCACTTTAGATATCACATATTCTTCAGCATCTGCAGGCCCTTGGCACAGGATGGTCACAGGATTCTTAGATCCAACCGTGGATCCAGGCAGAGCTGTGATATGAGGTGGGGAGAGATTTCCTAGAAGGAAGGGAACAGGCATGGACTTACAGGTGTGTGGGTTTCTCATGCCATCCTTCCACTCCTCTCCTCTTCCAGCCACTGGCCCAAATGTGGAGTCCTATCTTCCCAGCTGTCAAGAGAACTGATATACTGCCAAACCAGGAGTAGGGTCCTGGGAGTGTTAAGAGGAATACTCACTGTTCTGTGCCTGAGTGTTCTGGCCTAGATACAACCCTGGAAGGAAACAGCGGGTGAGACAGTTTAGCCTCCTAGAACTGCTGGACCTGCCCCCCTGTAGCCTGTATTTGTAGCTGGGCCCTTCTCTCTCAGACTCACCAAGACAGAGCAGGGAGGGAAGCACCACGGACATGGTCCTGTGCCCAAGTCGGCCTGCTGGCCCCAGCAGTGCTGCTCTGATCAGGAACAGGCTTGTCTGCAAGTGACACAGACCTCCAGGAAGTGTGGGATGGCGTAGTTCTCAACCTTAGAGTGAAGGCAATCCACATCCTCTTTCCTCCTCCTGGGTGGGGCTTGCAGAAGTGCCTGACATCGTGAAGACGTTCATCACATGAACTTCCATCTACAATCAGTCCAACCTGATCCCTACTTCCTGTCCCAATGCCACATGAGCCTTTTAAAGTTTGTATATAAAGCCAGCGGTAAGAGAAATCACAGGCAAAGAGCAGGACCTAAATAACTGCCAGGACTGCTCTGACAGACCGTGTGAGCTTGTAGCTCTCGCTTTGTAACACTGAGATTATATCTCTTTGTGTACAGCAGGGGCAACGATAGTGAGCTTCTGAAAAGCTGTCCTCACAGCGTGAGCACGTTGTCCAGAACAGGCTCTGCCAGAGAGGCAGTAGCGTAATTATTAGTTCTTCCTCTTCGTCCGTCGATAGTCCCAACATGTTGTTGGCATCGATCCTGTCCATGGGGAAAATGGTGAACCTAAAGAAGGTACTTTCATTGCATTTTGTCACAGCTTAGTTCTCAAACCAGCACACTGGCTGAACCTTACTGAGCAGCTATTCTGTCCATTCTTCTGGATCCATATGTAATTTAGATTTAAAATCTTCCCCTCGGGGGCAGCCCGGTGGCACAGTTGTTAAGTGGGCATGTTCCTCTTTGGCGGCCCAGGGTTCACCGGTTCGGATCCCGGGTGTGGACATGGTGCCAATTGTCAAGCCATGCTGTGGCAGGCGTCCCGCATATAAAGTAGAGGAAGATGGGCACGGATGTGAGCCCAGGGCCAGTCTTCCTCAGCAAAAAGAGGAGGATTGTTAGCAGATGTTAGCTCAGGGCTAATCTTCCACAAAAAAGAAAAAAAAATCTTCCCCTCATTCTGTTGACATGAGGCATTCTTCTCCATAAATCTGAAATAATTTAATAGTAACCCTCACTGAGTTTTTATTTACGAAGATCACATGGGGGAAGGTTACTTATAATCTTCAACAAAATGGTGGTGGGTTGGATTATTCCACCAAGTTATTTAGTCAGCTCTTAATTCATCAGATTCTTGGACCTTAGGTCCATTTGTAGAATCATATATAGTTCTGCAAAATCAGAAATATCTCCTGCTTCTGCTCAAATTTCTGTTTGGTTGTTGGGTATTACCAGCGTCTTCACAGCCCAGTCAATTAGGCTCAGACAAATCAGATCCCTCTGTCTGTAGCCTTGGGTCACGGCCTGGTCATAGAGAAACGTGATGTGGAGTTTGTGATTGGAGGTGTTGGTGGCTGAGGAGAAGGGGTTTCCCCAGGACTGAGAAGACAATCGAAGGTTCCAACTCAGAGGAAGAGGCCGACAGCTCAAAAGAGGTTACACAGGGCGTTCCTCTCTTTGACACCAGGGGAAGTATCCATATCTATCTATCTGACTCTCTATCTATCATCTATCTCTCTCTCTCTCATTTCTCTCTGTCTTTCTATTTATCCATCATCCCCCTACATATTTCCATCATGTATATCTCTCATTTATCCCTATTTATTTATCGTTACCTACATCTATCTATTAAACTTTACCATCATCGTCTCTCATCCATACATCACCTATCATTTGTGTGTCTTGTATTGCTCTATCAATACCTATGTCTCATCTGTCTATGATCTATCTATCTATGATCTATCTGCCTATGGTCTATCTATCTCCGCCACTGAACCATTAAAAGAGTCAAGAACATAGCAGTCACTATTTCCCAGGAGAACCATTTCCAGTCACATTAATTACTGTTTCTTTGCTCTCAAACTATTTGGACTCACTTTTTAAAGGATATCTCATAGGACTGGATTGTTGTGTTCTAAAACCTGCTGTCTATTTTTTACAGTCCGAGGACTAAGAACAATTTTTACATTTTTAAAGGATGGAAAAAAATAAAAAAAATTTATTATTTTGTGATCAAATGAAGATGATTTGAAATTCACAATTTAGTGTTTGTAAACAAATTTTATTGGAACCCAGCCAGGTTCGTGTGGCTCTGTGTCACCTACAGTAGCTTTTGTGCGACAACAGCAGAATTGAGTGGTTGCGAAGAAGATCAGAAGACTCACAAAGCCCAATATATTTACTATTTGTCTGGTAGAAAAAGCTGTCATTTAGAACATGACAGTGACAGCAGGCAGAGTCCGAGAAGGCATTCAGAGAAAACATCTAAGAAAAAGTTATGCATGTGCTAACACTGAGAAAAAGTGTAGGAATTAGCCAGAAGAAGGGAAAGTTGGTGAGGTGACAGCAGCCAGTGTCAGAGAGCTCTTAGAGAGTGTCATCACGGGGCAGAGAGGAGAACAAAGAACAAGTGGTGGACCTTAGAATCTACCTGTGTCTACAGAACGGAGTATCCTTCTTGTTAAACTCTGAGGATATTTGTGATTTACTTCAGTAGATTGGAGCTAAGAAGTTCCAGAATGATTTCATCAACTCAGCTGTAACAGGAGTCAGAGCTGACCATTCTGTGAGTCTGTTGTTTTGGTGCCATGCTCTTAAAGGTGTTCCTTTTCAGAAAAAAGAAAAATAAACCCCAAACTGGAACAATGGCTAACATCACAAACATCATTGTTACTTGAATCGTGAAAGAAACACACCAACATAAACGTTCATGCTTTTACATTTGCTTTGTATATTCTGTAAATTAAAAATAAATGACGCTATTGAAAAAATCAGCATTTCTATTCCTAGACCAAGTTTTCTCCCCTCAAGTACAATAAGTCAGGAACTTACACATTCTGACATACAAAAGCAGGATTCGTTAAGCATCTCTCCCTCTCTATGTAGATCATGTCCTGTTTTAAATTCTAAAGAGTATTAAATATTCAATCCCCACGTCTCCCCCAGGAGTTAGTGCACAAGTGCAAGGACAGCCCTGCCCTATGGTCAGATGTACTGAGCTGCTGGAGGTCGGCTGAATGATCCCCCTCAAGTTGTGCTCGTCTAATCCCCAGAATTGTGAGTGGGACCTGCCACGGCAAAGGGACATTGTGATGTGAGGAAGACGAGACTCTGGAAACTGAGAGATTATCCTGGATTATCTTCTTGGGCCCAATGTCATCACAAGGGTCCTTATAAGAGGGAAGCAGGAGGGTGGGAGCAAGAGAGAGAAGAAGGCAGGAAGGAAGCAGAGGTCAGAGAGGAGAGAAGATGCTACACTGGTGGATTTGGAGATGGAGGAGGGATCCAGAAGGCAAGGAATGCAGGCGGAGCCCAGAAACAGAAAAGGCAGGAACACAGACCAGACGCTAAAAGAGGAATGCAGGCCTGCAGACACTTTTTAGACTCCTGCTCCCTAGAATGAAAAGAGAATGAATTGGTGTTCCTTTAAACCGAAGTGTCTGGGGTAGGTTGTTACAGATTCAACAAGAAACAAGTCTTCTCCGATATCTCAGTAGATGACATGGCCAGGGCACTATCTCCTCTGGCTGCTCCCCCAGGGTCCACACAGTCATTAGATGCCAATAGAAGGACATCGGTGCTGTCGTTACACTCAGGTGGGGGCTTGTCTGTGTCCATTTAAGGGCATCTTCTGGCTGTACCAGGCCTCAGCCAAGAGCACCCCCAGGACCAAGAGAATCAGGCCAGCCATGCTCAGCCGGACTTGATTCTCTGCAGAAAGATGCCAGGCAGCAGGTTCTGCGAGAAAAAGGAGAGAAGGTTACAGAAGAGGCACCAAGGTCCATTCTGCTAACATACTCCAAAACCTGAGCCCATTTCTCCAGTCTACTGGCTTGGCATGTAGCCTGCCCAGCAAACCCCGAACTGGACAAGCACTTACTTACCTTTCATTCCTCCTTTGATTGTGGCCACAGTGGTGATCCCATCAGGGAATCTGGGGTCAAGAAAGACAGCAGTGGGGAACAGGGTGCCTCCAGTTGCCCCATTGGAGCCCTGGCTGCTCTTTCCTTGCTATTTCCCTGTGATAAGCCATGGACTCAGCAAACAGGGACTGTGCCCCTTGACACTCTTTGGGCATGTGAAGCTTCTCTCCACCTCATGATTTTTGCATCTGCTGTTCCCTCTACCTGCCCTGCTCCTTCTACAAAGATCATCAGTTACTCACCAGGTGAAGGTCTGGGGCTTGTGGGAACAGGATGGTCAGAAGCTTCTGCAAATGGGGCTGAAACGGGAGAGATTTTCTTTCTCTCTGTTCAGACTCTGTTCTCCCCAGATTCCCAATGACTATACTGCCCTTCCCTGGTGCTGGGCATGTGGTAGGAGGGCTGCTTTGGGAGTGAGGGGAGTGAGTTCTTTAGAGCTTCTTGTCTAAGAAGACGGTGGTGACATGGTCTTCCCACCATGCTGTCCTCCTTTTTCCAGTCCCTGCTCTACCTGGACACTACCCATCTCCAGGATGGGACATGAGGATTGATGGGCTGGGGCTTCCTCACCTGTGACCCAAAGCTGCAATCGGTCACTGGGGTGAGACCACACATAAGGGTAATGACCGAAGACACCATAGCATCTGTAGGTCCCAGTTTGTGTGGAGGAGACATGATTCAAGAGGAACACAGCCTGGTGTCCACCACCCTCAGAGGTGGAGATTTGGTTCTGGATGGTGTGAACTCCATCTTTCTTCATAAGAATAGATGCATCAAACTTGAGTGTTGAGAAACACCGCAACTTCTCATTCTTCCCTGAAGGCACCATGATACCAGTCATGCTTGAGAGGAAGGGTTTCTCATAAGCTCCTGAGAAAGAAGGAAGCTTGTAGATAAAGGGCTGGGCCACATGTATGCATTGTCCCTTTTTGTTCCCCCAGAGTAGACATGGCTCTTGTTTCTATCCCCTCCTTGTCCTGCTGTGAAGAATCTGTGTCTGCATCATCCCTAGCCCTTTCTAAGGATAGAGGTTTTGGTCCTCTGTGCTTCATATCTGCAACGTCTGGTTCTTCCCTCTGCAAAGAGGTCAGTCCTGGCTCTGCTGCCCTTGTGTCCTACTCACTAGTCATCACTGGTTGCAGGGGGTCACTGAACTGGGACCAGCTGCCTACACTTTGATAGGAACAGTGGTACAACCCTGCCCAGTATGGCGTCATCTCTGAGATACTCTAAGTGTTGGACGTCTTAGACAGCAGTTGCTTCTCTCTATCTGAGGCCTCAGGGCTTCTCACTCTAGATAGCGCATATGCTTCAGCTTCTGAGGCCCTCTGCACAGGATCATCACTGGATTCCCAGGTGGAACCGTAGATCCTGGTAGAGCCATGAGAAGAGGTCGTGGGAGATTTCCTAGAAGAAAGAAAACAGGTATGGACTTACAGGTGTGTTTGTTTCTTATGACCTCCATCCATTTCATCCCCTGTCATAGCCACTGGTTGGAATGTGGAGTCTCCTCTTCGCAGCTGTCAAGAGAGCTGATATCTGGCCTAAACCAGGAGTAGGGTCTTGGGAGTATTAAGAGGAATACTCACCCTTCTGCGCCTGAGTGCTCTGGCCTAGACACATCCCTGGAAGGAAACAGTGGGTGAGACACCCCAGCCTCCTAGAACCGATGGACCTGCCACCTGGAGCCTGTATTTGTAGCCGGGCCCTTCTCTCTCAGACTCTCCAAGACAGAGCATGGAGGGAAGCACCAGGGACATGGTCCTGAATCCAAGCTGGCCTGCTGGCCCCAGAGATGCTGTTTTTATGAGGAACAGACTTCTCTGGATTGACAAAGACCTCCAGGAAGTGTGGGTGTGGCCCCACTTTCACAAGGAGAGCAAAGGCAATGCACATCCTCTCTCCTCCTACTTCCTCCTTTGTGGGGCTTGCAGAAATATCTGATACATGAAGAGGTTCATCATCTGAACTTCAAGCTACAATTAGTCCAACTTGATCCCTGTTTTCTGTGCCCAGCACCACATAAGCATTTTAATCTTTCAATATGATGCAAGGGATAAGAGAGATACAGGATATAGAAGAGGAAAGAAACCATTTCCAATCATAAGACTGCTCTGAAATATCATGTGAACTCATGGCCCTCCCTTCTTAATTCTGCATTCCATTTGCTATATACAAAATGGAGGAATGGTAATGAGTTCCTGAAGAGCTCTAATCACATAGTATGTAAATTCTCCAAAATAGAGTTTGCTGGAGAGGCAGTCACATAATTATTATTTCCCCTCCTGCCCCGCTTCTGTCTCTATTCCCAACATAAAGCCAGTACTGATTCCCCATGGGTGTTAATTTTGAACCTAAAAGAGATACTTATACTAGGTTAAGTCTCACCTTTGTTCTTCAACTTTTCACACCGGCTGAGCCTGACTGCACAGCCATGCCACTGTTCTCCTGGATGAACAGGTAGTGCTGATTTAAAATCTTACCTTATCATACCTTCATAATTCTATCATCACCCAAAACCTAAAACAATTTATAGCCAATCTTTTATGAGTGTTCATTTCTTCTAGATAGGTAGATTACAGAGAGGGAGTTTGCATTTAATCTTCAGGAAACTTATTAGTATTTTAAGTGAATAGTTATTTAGTCACCTGTGTAATCATGTTGTAAATCTAAACCTTTTGCAGGTAGGATTCCATGGGAGCCTCGGGACTACTGTGAGTGCCATGGAAGACAGGCTTTATTACAGAGATTAGAGCTTAGGCGATTGTGGTCCAGACAAAGAAGTCTGTAGAAGGCCAGTGCCATTGCATCTGGTGTTCATTCTGATGTCACTAAGAGTCAGCCAGCTTGAGTGTTGAGAGGAAAAGCTGGATATGAGGTGAGACAGCTAAAGGGCACACTGGAGCCCTCAAGGGAATTTGGGGGCCAATCTCTCTTTCTCCATCTCCAACCTCAATGGTGTATGATGCTCTTCACCACAGATCTTCAAAAATGCTAATGCAGCTGCCAGCCTCGTTGAAGGTGCTGAGGGAGCTGGAGGAACAGTGGGTTTGGCTGTGGGCTCACACCAATGGGTCAGCCAGCAGGTCCCATATAACATGTGTCTGTATAACATTGTGTATAACGTGTGTCATATAACATTGAGGTCTGTAGAAACAGCAGGGCCCACATCAAACCTGGTCTATGAGGGATTTGGGGCACTGCTGCTGGAAGCTGATGCTGGAGGCTTGTTCACCAGCCCTCCAGTGGTTTTGACGCTTCACAGTATTATCTAATACTCATTTTAAGTGAATCAGGAGTGCAAGCTTCCACTGATATCATCTAAAAGCTGTGAGATTTAATGAGTGGTTGGTTCTGGGGCTGATAGGAAAGGGAAGAAGTAAGTATGGATGGCCCTAGGTTTTTATTTGAGTTACCGACTGAAGGCTGGTGCCATAATGAAGGATTGAATGAGCCTGCATTTTTGCATGTGTGTGTGTGTTGTATCGATGAAATATCTTCACTCACTGTATTACCTCATACGTTCTATGCCTTCAGGACAGAGGTGGGTCCTGGAGGACTGGCTGCTTCATATAATGGCTGCCAAACTTGTGTTACTGTTTATTTAAGGACTGTCTTTCCCTGTTTAAAATACCTCCATGTTTAGTCAATTTCACAAGGCAAAGTCTTATATTCTCTTTGACACTGGCCACCTCTTGCCAGAGACCTTGGTAGGGGTCCACATTCCTTATATCCACGGCTCTTAATTTATTCGCTTCTATGGCCTTTGTAGACAATGGTAGAATTGTACGTAGTCCTTCAAGTTCAGAAATAGCTCTTACTTCCACTAGGATTTCCCTTTGGTAGTTGTGTATCAGTAGCATCCCTCTAAGCTTAACATTCTCATCATCATGGCCTGGCCAGTTAGGCCCAGACAAGTCAGAGCCCCTGTGTTTACGTCCTGGAGTCATGGCCTGGGCATAGAGAAACATGGTGTAGAGGCTGTAATTTGAGATGTCTGTGGGAGAAGAGAAGGGGATTCCCCAGGACTGAGAAGATCATTGAAGATTCCAACTCAGAGGAAAAGACAAACAGGTCAAAAGTGGTTAGAGAGGGCTTTCCTTTCTCTGACACTAGGGAAAAATATCCATATCCATATCTATCTGTCTATCTATCTATCTATCTATCTATCTATCTATCTATCCATCCATGTTTCTAACCTATGTCTTTCTTTCTCTATCATCTTTCTACCTATTTATTATTTATATCTCTCACCTATCTTTCTCTCTCTATTTCTATATATATGTTACACACATTTGTATATTTATCTATTATTTTCTTAGCTTTCTGTATCATGTATATCTCTCATCTATATCTATTTTTCATTCATATACATCTATCAAACTTCATCATCTCTTATCTATTCATCCATCCATCATCTATCTATCCAACCATTATCTATCTATCTATCTATCTATTTCTTTTTCTATCATCTTCTATCTGTCTCCATCCTCTAGAGCCACAAAGAGCACCCTTGACCACAGCAATCACTATTTCTTAGGAGAACCATCTCTAGGCACATTCCTTATCATTTCTTTCCTCTCACACTGTTTTGGCCTCAGCTTCTTGGGGAACAGAATATAAGACTGGATTATTGGGTTATTAAGCCCCCTGTCGGTTTTTATATGCTCTGAGGACTAAGAATGATTTGTACATTTTTAAATGATTGAAAAAATCAAAAGAAAATAAGTATTTTGTGACCCGTGAAAATGGTCTGAAATTCAAAATTTGGTGTTCCTATACAAAATTTTATTGGAACACAGCCATTCCCACTCATTTATGTGTCATCTACAGTTGTTTTTTGCTAAAACAAGAGAACTGAGTAGTTTGACGGAGACCAAAGATCTTGCAATTTAGTATTTGGCCTTTATAGAAAAAGTTAGCTGATTGCTGTTTAGAACATGACAGAGGCAGCTAGCAGAGTCTGAGAAGGCATTCAGAGGATACTTTCAGGAAAAAGCTATGCACATGCATATTTCAATGATTTTTAGTAAATTTACCAATTTATGTAACCATCACTGCAATCTGGTTTTAGAACATTCTATGGCCCCAATGAAATCTCAAATTTCACTTTATAGTTTATCCCATTGCTACCTCCAGGCTCAGGCAATCTACTTGGTGTCTCTATAGGGTTGAGCTTCTTGGAAATTTCGCATTTCAGATTTCTTGGAATCATGATAGGTGGTCTTTTGCATCTGGCTTCCTTTCACTTGGCTTAATGTTTGCAGGGTTCATCCACGTTGTGGCATGTATCAGTACCTCATTCTTTCTTATTTATTTTTATTGATTGATTGAGATATAGATGACATATTGTATTGTGTAAGTTTAAGGTGTACAACCTGTTGATTTGATACATTTGTACATTGCAATATGATTACGACCATAGTGTTGGCCAGCACTTCCATCAACTCACATAATTATAATTTTTTCTTTGTGGTGAGAACATTTAATATCTACTGTCTTAGTAACTTTTGAGTGCATAATGCCATATTTTTAACTATAGTCACTATGCTGTACATTAGATTCCCACAATGTATTCATCCTATAACTGGAAGATTGTATCCTTTGACCAACAGCTTCTCATTTCCCCCACCCCTCAGGCCCTGACAACCACCATTCTACTCTCTGTTTCTATGAGTTTGACTTTTTTGGTTTCCACATATAAGTGATACCATGTAGTGTTTGTCTTTCTCTGTCTGGCTTGTTTCACTTGGCATAATGCCCTCGAGGTTTATGCACGTTGTCACACATGGTAGCATTTGGAAAGCCTGTTTAGAAACAGGCGGTTTAGAGGGTGGTTTTATTTCTCCCTCCCAGGGTGACAGTCTTGCCTTGTCCAGGAGATTCATCTGCTCACTTGCAGAGCCCCATGTCCTGGCTTACATAGATTTTAATAGCACTGGACATTCTGTTGAACTATTTTTGATTGTGGCTCTTATCAGTTCATCCAGTGCTCTGTTCTGGCCACATAATTCCTCTTTTACATGTCCAATCACCTTCTCAGTCTTTGTCTACCCCAGAAAACTCATTGTTCCAACAGAAGTCTTTTAATTCTACCCCTTTCCCCTGCCACCATGAGTTACATGAACTTGGGGGTATTGCTTAACTTTTCAGTTTCAACTTATTCACTCTTAAATGAGGATGTTAAGAGTGCATATACCCCCTAGGGTGTAGGATGATTAAAAGAAATAATTTAACACTGGCTTATGGTACATATGATTCCATGGAGAAATATGCGATTATATTTACTTCTAGCTGATTTCCTAAACACTAAAATGTGTATGTGAGTGCATGTGAACAAACGAGTACACCTTTAATTTACGTTTTTTGTTATTTAGTGAGCTAACTAGCTAGTTATTGTTCTTAGCTAATAGTTCAAGGCACTGACTGTCATGCCATCCTTTCTTGATTTGAATGCTAGATCAATCAATTGCAATCCTATAACTCGCTGAGAATTAGCTTTTAACATCAGTAAAACTGAAATGATAATATTTCCTATTTCATAAATTTTACAAAGATTAAAAGATGTAACCACACAGAAGGCTATTAGAATAGTTTTAAGCAATAGTTTGCTGAGTAATTTTATTATTATTAACATTGACTTTTCATTTTAAAATTGATCACTAGTAATCAATACTTCATTTTAATTACACAGGTTAAGTCATCATGTTAAAATACTGTGTAGTATTGGATTCTGAGGCGTGGGCTAACATAACCTGTTCTGCAATGCTTACTTTTGGGCATTTGCTTGTTTTGCAGAAGCCTAAGCTCACTTACAAATGTATGAAAATCTTTCCATTATTTGTCAGGCATTCTTAATTTTTGATAGCTGTTTATTGATGAGGTTAATCATCAAGACACTTAATGGATTTGTATTTCAGTATTTCTGAGTTGTAAGCGTGAGTTTTGAAAAGAAGATGAGAGATGTGATTTTTACAGAGTGAAGGAGAAATATGTTTGGGGTGTGTTTGTTGTATGTGTGTATAGAAGCAGCAAAGTGATGGGCACTTTTTATAATCAGTGAGTTGAGACATGGCAAGATGTGGCTTCAATTAAATTCCCATTTGCTTAGGCTAATTGGTAGATCTAGCCAACATAACATTCCACAGTACAGTTTATTTTTCAGGGAGACAGAAAGATAAGCTGACAGCAGTAATCAAGGCTTTTCACCTATATTTTGAGTAATCATATCCAGAAATTCTCTGGCCAAAGGTCTTCCAGTTGTATAATCCAGCAGATCATGGAAAAATAGAAAACACTTCTTACATACCCACATGTACACACACACACAGACACACTGAGCTGTGGCTTTTTCCATATTTATCCTATTTTATCCATTCAAAGCCTGCAAAATAGCTGGTGGGAATCATGACTTTTTGTGTTTGAAAGTGCTAATTTACCTCTTCTTTCTCTAAGTTTAGAAGCAACTCTGGGTACATATCCAAGGGAAGCGAAATCAATATCTCAAAGAGATATCTGCACACTTGTGTTCACTGCAGCATTATTCACAGTAGCCAAGACATGGAAGCAACCTAAATGTCCACCAACAGATGAATGGATAAAGAAAATGTGGTATATACATACAATGGAATATTATTCAGCCATAAAAAGAAAGAAATCTTACCATTTGTGAGAACATGGATGAACTGGAGGACATTACACTAAGTGAGGTAAGCCAGACACAGACAGGCAAATATTGCATGGTCACACTCGTATGTGGAATCTGATATATGGATCTCATCAGGATTGTGGTGTAGGTGGACTCTGAACTCACCTCCTCTGATGAACACAACCAGGTTACAACTATTCTTGGAAAAATCACTTGGGAGAGAGAACTGAAAACTGGATAAAAAGAACCCGCACAACCAGGGATAGTCCTGACTGAGGTGGACTAGGGAGAAATTCCTTCTGGAGAGAAAAAGAAGCCACCTTCATGAGCTGCAGAGCTTCACAGCAGCTGAGTGGGAGCCACCCTAAGGTACACAGCCCTCCCTGGAGTAGTGGGGGATCTGAGTGGGGGCATGTCACCACTGTAAGCATCCTTCAGACTCAGCACAACTGAGATGAGTGTCCTACTGTCTGTCTTCCCTGACTGTTAACTGCAATGGGGAATACCCCCAGACAAGCTATCGGAAGAAAGCCGAAACAACCTGGCTCTTAAATGGCCCATGCACAAATTCATCCACCTCAGAGAGCAACCTAAAATCATCATAAAGAAAGCTTCACAGTCCTTTGGTAAAAGAGACTCACCTGGTAGGCTCTGGGTGCATCTTGGTGAGAGGTGAGACCTCTCAGGAGACTGAGACATTGGTGGTGGTCACTGTTGTGACCTAGTACATGTGTGCTGACACAGACGCTGACAGTCACCATTGAAGTTCTTCCACTGGTCTGATAGCCCTGGGGTCTGCCACACCCACTAGAGTGTAGATTTAACCTACTTCAGCCAGGGCAGGCAGCCCACCCTAGGGACTGGCCCCACCTAACAGCAAGACCTCATGCTACTTGTCAGCCTGCATATACTGAGTGCCTTGCTCCTCTACAGGCAGGTGAGTGTGTCTGCCTCTGTGGGGCAGGGCTTGTGTGAGGACCAGGTGAACTGTGGGGTGCTTTGGTGGAGAAGTGGGGGCCTCTGCAGTGGGGTGACTGGCTATGCTCCAGGGAGTTGGGAAGTGTGCACGGACCAGTGCTGTGTTGACAGTGTGTGTGGACCTGTGGGAGGTGGGGCTTATCAGTGGCAGAAGACCTGTGCTTCACAAATATCTACAAAGAGGATCAGCCCTGTCTTCTGAAGCCTGAAACAATTGTGTTCCCCTTTCTGGGTCAGCCCCACTCAGTTGCAATCCTAAGAGAGCTGACAACAGCCTTGCAGGCCTGAGGCCTACAGCAACTCTAAGCCCCTGAGCCTAGCAACCAGCTACACTGGGTACCAACCCAATTAAGAGGAAAACCACAACAGGAGTGTGCTATTAGACCTTGTAGTCAATGGTGCTGGGGCTCCGCAAACTGGATTTACTGACTGCCAGCCAGGGAAGGAAAGACTAGACTCTCTGGGTACCTGCAGTGAAAGCAACCCTGCCACAGCAGAAGGACACAAGTAGCCTACAAAGGGGTCACTCCTGGATCATTTGGACTGGTGATGAGAGGGAAGCACACTGCTGGGCCTCAAAAAGAGTCTCTTACATAAGGCCACTTTTCCAAGAACAGGGGACATAGCTGACTCACCTAATACAGAGATATAAGCACAGAGAAAGAAGTAAAATTAGGAGGCAAAGGAATACTTTCCAATCAAGGGAACAGGACAAAACCCCAGAAAAAGAACTAACTGAAACAAAAATAAGCAATCTACCTGACAAAGAGTTCAAACAAAAACTCATAAGGATGCTCACTGATATTGGGAGAAGACTGGATGAACACAGTGAGAATGTCAACAAAGAATTGGAAAATATAAAAAAGAACTAATCAGAAATGAAGAATACAATACTGGAAATGAAAAATTCACTAGAGGGACTCAATAGCAGAGTAGATGATACAGAAGAATGGAAAGACTAGAGGAAATCACCCAAGCTGAACAGGCAAAAGGAAAAAGAATTAAAAAGAAGGAGAACAATCTAAAGCAACTCTGGGACAATACCAAGCACACTAACATTCGTATTATAGGTGTCCCAGAAGGAGAAGAGAAAGACAATGGGACAGAGAATCTATTTGAAGAAATAATAGCTGAAAACATTCCTAACGTAAGAAAGGAAACAGTCATCCAGGTACAGGAAGCACAGACAGCACCAAACAAGATAAACCCAAAGATGCCCACACCAAGACACATTATAATCAAAATGCCCAAAATTAAAGATAAAGAGAGAATCCTAAAAGTGGCAAGAGAAAGGCAACAAGTGACATACAAAGGAAAGCCAATAAGGCTATCGGGGAACTTCTCAGCTGAAACCCTACAGGCTAGAAGGGAGAGGAATGACTTATTTAAAGTGCTGAAAGGAAAAAACCTACAACCAAGAATACTCTATCCAGCAAGGTTGTCATTCAGAATGGAAGGAGAGATAGAGTTTCCCAGACAAGCAAAAATTAAAGGAGTTTATCACCAAGAAACCAGTTCTGCAAGAAATGCTGAAGGGACTTATTTAAGTGGGAAAGAGAAGACCACAAATAGGGATAAGAAAAGTATATAAAAGAACCCAAAACAGGCAATAAAATCACTGGTAAAGACAAAAATACAGTAAAGGTAGCAGATCAACCACCTATGAAAATAATATGAAGGTTAAAAGACAAAAGTACTAAAATTACGGATTTCAATGATAAGAGGGTAATGGACAGACACACACAAAATAAGAGATTAGATATGATTGCAAAAACATAAAATGTGGGGGGAAGAGAGTAAAAGAGTAGAGCTTTTAGAAAGAGGTCAAACTAAACAGACTATCGACTCAATATAGATTGCTATATATGTAGAATATTATATAGGAACCTGATGGTAATCACAAACCAGAAACTGATAATAAGTAAACAAATTAGTAAGAGAAAAGAAATCAAACATATTACTAAGGAAAGCCTACTATCTGATTTTGACAGCCCCAGGACTAAGGACAATTTTTACATTTTTAAATGATTGAAAAAATCAAAAGAAAATTAGTATTTTGTGGTCCGTGAAGATGATTTGAAATTCACAGTTTAGTGTTTGTAAACAAATTTTATTGGAACACAGCCAGGCCCATGTGTCATCTACAGTAGTTTTCGTGACACAACAGCAGAATAGAGTGGTTGCAAAGAAGATGAGATGACTCCCCAACAAGGGAAATTTAGTAAGGGAACAGCAGCCAGTAGCAGAGAGCTCTTAGCGAGTGTAATCATGGGGCAGAGGTGAGACCAAAGGGCAAGTGATGGAACTTTGTATCTCCATGTGTCTGCAGAGCACGGTATCCACCTGGTTGAAGTCTGAGGACATTGATTATTTACTTCAGTAGACTGGAGCTAGAAGTTCCAGAATGACTTCATCAACTCCAATGTAACTGGAGTCAGAGTAAACTACTCTGTGAGTCTGTTGTTTAGTCTCATATTTTAAAAGATGTTTCCTTTTCAGAAAAAACCCCAAAACAAACCCAATATAGGAACAATGGCTAACATCACACACATCTGTGTACCTTCAATCCTGAAACAAACAAAGCACCATAAATGCTCATAATTTTACATTAGCTTTCGATAAACATTAAATCAAGAAAAAGGATATTGAAAAAAAAATCAGTATTTCTATCCTTAGACTAATGTTTCCCCCTCCAAATACCAGCGATCTTAGGAATTTATACTTTACCTTATACGTAAGTAAGCTTTATGGGCATGTCTCTCTGTTTAAATCATGTCCTGTCCTAAATTCTAAAGAGTGTTAAGTATCTCATCCCCACGTCTCCCCCAGGAGTTAGCACACAAGTGCAAGAACAGCCCTGCTCTATGGTCAGATGTACTGAGCTCCTGGAGGTTGTCTGTGTCCATTGAAGGGCATGTTCCGGCTGTACCAGGCCTCAGCCAAGAGCATCCCCAGGACCAAGAGAATGAGGCCAGCCAGGCTCAGCCGGACTTGATTCTCTGCAGAAGGATACCAAGCAGCAGGCTCTGAGAGAAAAAGGACAGAAGGTTACAGAAGAGACACCAAGGCCCATTCTGCTAACGTGCTCCCAAAACCCAAGACCATTTCTCCAGTCTACTTGATCTGGCATGAAGCCACCTAATCCACCTCCCACGGGAGAAGCACTTACTTACCTTTCATTTCTCCTGTCCTTGCTGCCATGGTGGGGATCCCGTCAGAGAATTTTGGGGTCAAGAAAGACAGGAGTGACGAGCAGAGTGCCTCCAGTCTGTCCCATTGGAGCCCTGCCCACTCTTTTCTTTCTTTTTCCCTATGATAAGCCATGGACTCAGCAAACAGGGACTGGCCCCCTTGACACTCGTGGGCATGTGAAGCTTCTCTCTACCTCATGCGTTTTGCACCTGCTGTTCCCTCTGCCTGCCCTGCTCCTTCTACAAAGATCAGCAGTTACTCACCAGGTGAAGGTTCAGGGTTCGTGGGATCAGGATCGTCAGAAGCTTCTGCTAATGGGGCTGAAATGGGAGAGATTTTCTTTCTCTCTGTTCAGACGTTCTTCTACCTAGACACCCTAATGACTATACGGCACTTTTCCATCCCCTGGGCATGTGGTGGGAGAGCTGCATTGTGGGTGAGGGGGAATGAGTTCCTCTGAGCTTTGTGAGCTTTGTGGTGACGTGGTCTTCCCATGGTTCTGTCCTCCTTTTCCCAGTCCCTGCTCTACCTAGACACTGTTTGTCTCCGGGACGGGACATGAGGATGGATGGGCTGGGGCTTCCTCACCTCTGACCTGAAGCTGCAATCTGTCACTTGGGTGAGACCACACATGGGGGTAACGGCTGAAGACTCCGTAGCATCTGTAGGTCCCAGTTTGTGTGAAGGAGACTTGATACAAGAAGAAGAAAGCCTCGTGTTTATACCCCTGGTGGGTGGAGATTTGGTTCTGGATGGTTCGATATCCATCTTCTTTGATAAGAATAAATGCATCAAACTTGAGTGTTGAGAAACATTGCAACTTCACATTCTCCCCTGAAGCCACCACAGAACCAGTCATGCTTGAGAGAGAGGGTTTGTCATAAGCTCCTGAGAAAAAAGGAAGTTTGTAGATAGAGGGCTGGGCATCATACATGCATTGTCCCTTTTTGTTTCCTGGGAGCAGATGTGGCTCTGGTTTCTATCCCCTCTTCGTCCCACCATGAGGAATCTGTGTCTGCATCCTCCCTAACCCTTTCTAAGGACAGAGGTTTTTGTCCTGTGTGCTTCGCATCTGCAAAGCCTTGTTCTTCCCTGTGCAAAGGGTTCAGTCCTGCTCTGCTGCCTCTGTTTCCCACTCACCGGTCATCACCAGCGGCAGGGGGTCACTGAACTGGGACCAGCTGCCTCCACTCTGATAGGAACAGTGGTACAGCCCTGCCCTGTCTGGTGTCATGTCTGTGATACTAAAGCTGTTGGTCATCTTAGACATCAGCTGTTTCTCTCTGTCCGAGGGCTCGGGGATTCCCACTTTAGTTATCATGTACACTTCAGCTTCTGCAGGCCCTCGGCACAGGATGGTCACAGGATTCTTAGATCCAACCATGGATCCAGGCAGAGCTGTGATATGAGGTGGGGGGAGAGATCCTAGAAGACAGAAAACAGGTATGGACTTACAGGTGTGTCGGTTTCTCATGCCATCCTTCCACTCTATCCCCTCTTACAAGCCATGAATCAGAATGCTGAGTCTCCTCTTCCCAGCTGTCAAGAGAGCTGATATCTGGGCTAAACCAGGAGCAGGGACTTGGGAGTATTAAGAGAAATACTCACCCTTCTGTTCCTGAGTGCTCTGGCGTAGACACAGCCCTGGAAGGAAACAGTGGGTGAAACAGCTCAGCTTATAGAACCACTAGACCTGCTCTCATTAGCCCTGTATTTGTAGCTGGTCCCTTCTCTCCCAGACTCACCAAGACAGAGCAAGGTGGGAAGGACCAGGGACATGGTCCTGCATCCACACTGGCCCGCTGGCCCCAGCAATGTGCCCTTATGAGGAACAGACTTTTCTGTATGTGACACAGACCTCTCGGAAGTGTGGGCCATCCCAATTCTCAGCCCAAGTGTGAAGGGAATTCACATCCTCTTTTCTCCTCCTGGTTGGGGCTTGCACAAGTGTCTGACATCTTGAAGCTGTTCATCATCTGAACTTTAGACTACAATCAGTCTGACTTCATCCCTGTTTTCTGTTCCTAATTCCACATCCACATTTTAAACTTTCTATATAAAGTGAGTGTGAGAGATTACAAGGCAAAGAGCAGGAGAGAAATAATTCCAGTCTGAGGTCTGCTCTGAAATACCAAGGAAACTTATGACTCTTGTTTCTTAATGCTGAGATTATATCCCTTTATGTACAAAATGGGGCAATGATAATGAGTTTATGAAAAGTGGTACTCACAGTGTGAGCACATTGTCCAGAACAGGCTCTGCTAGAGAGACAGTAGCATAATTAACAGTTCTTCCTCTTCGATAGCCCCAACACATTTTTGGCACTGATTCTGTCCAAGCGTAAAATGATGCACTTAATATGGTATTTTCATTGGGTTTTGTCACACCTTTGTTCTTAAACTATCACACTGACTGAACCTTCCTGAGTAGCTATGCCGTCCATTCTTCTGGATCAGTGTATAATTTTGATTTAAAATCTTCCCCTGAATCCACCCACATTGGGCACTCTTCTCCACAAATCTGAAAAAATTTAATAGTAACCCTTACTGAGTTTTCATTTTTTGAGGATTACATGGGGGAAGGTGACATACAATCTCCACTAAAACGGTGGTAGGTTGGACTATTGCTCTAAATTGTTTTGTCAGCTTTTAATTCATCAGACTCTAAGGACTTCGGAGCCACTGGTATAATCATAGATAGTTCTGCAAATTCAGAAATACCTTCTACTTCTTGTAGAATTTCCCTTTGGTTGTTGTGTATCACTATCATCTTCATGGCCTGGCCATTTTGGCTCAAACATCAGGTCCCTGTGCTTGTATCCTTGGGTCATGGCCTGGGCATAGAGAAAGGTGATGTGGAGGATATAATTCGAGATGTCTGTGGCTGAGAAGGAGTTTCCCCAAGACTGAGAAGATAATTGAAGGTTCCAACTCAGAGGAATAGGCTGACAGGTCAATAGTGGTAACACAGAGCTTTCCTTACTCTGAAAATATCTGGGGGAAAATATTCACATCTAACCTTCTGTCTCTTTAGCTCTCTTTATCTTTCTACCTATCTATCTATCTATCTGTCTGTCTGTCTATCTATCTATCTATCTATCTATCTATCTATCTATCATATATCTAGTCTATTCATAGCATCTGTCATCTATATCATTGCTCTCCCTTTCTCTATTTATCCATTATCTACCTAGATTTCTATCATGTATATTTCTCATCTATCTATACCTATATATCACTTACCTATGTCTATTTATAAAGTTCATCATCATCGTCTGTCATCTATTACCTATCATTTACCTATCTTGTATTCATCTATCAATATCTATGTATCATCTATTTGAACATCATCTTTCTGTCTTATTTGTATATCTATCTGTCTGTCTATCTATCTATCCATCCATCTATCTATCTATCTATCTATCTATCTATCTATCTATCTATCTATCTGTAATCTATCTATCTATCATCTATTTCCAACTGCTAAGGAATCAAAAGGGAGTCCTTGAACACAGCAGTAACTATTTTCTAGTATAACTATTCTCAGACACGTTAATTAGTGTTTCTTTGCCTACAAGCTATTTGGACTCAACTTTTATTTATTTATTTCAGCACCAATAGTCTAGTTTTTACCTGCCAGAATACACACGTGTCCCTTTGCCCTTTTCGCCCTCCCACATTCCCCTCCTTCCTCTGGTAACCACTAATCAGTTTCCTTATCTATGTGTTTGTTTGTTTACCTTTCAGATATCAGTGGAATGTTATAATATTTGTCTTTCTCTTTCTGACTTATTTTCCTTAGTATAATACCTTCAAGGTCCATCATGTTGTTGGAAATTGCACGATTTTGTCTTTTTGATTTGTCTGAGTTAATATAAATTTATATTCCATTGTCTGTGCGTATATATGTACCACATCTTCTTCACCCATTCATCCATTGGTGGGTATTTGGGTTGCTTCCATTGGGTTGCTTCCATATCTTGGCTATTGTGAATAATGCTGCAATGAACAGAGGGGTGTGTGAATTTTTTTGAATTGCTGCTGTCATATACTTTGGCTAAATACCCAGTAGTGGAAGAGCTTGATCATATGGTATTTCTGGTTTTAATTTTTTGAGAAATCTCCATAATGTTTTCCATAGTGGCTGCCTCAGTTTGCATTCCCAACAGCAGTGTATGAATGTTCCCTTCTCTCCACATCCTCCCCAAAACTATTGCTTCCTGTCTTGTCAATTATGGTCATTCTGACAGGAGTGAGGTAATATCTCATTGTAGTTTTGATTTGCATTTCCCTAATGATTAATGATGTTGAATGTGGTTTTTCACATGCCTGTTGGCCATCTGTGTATCTTCTTTGGAAAAACGTCTGTTCACATCCTCTGCCTACTTGTTTATTGGGTTGTTTGTTTCTTTTTTGTTGAGTTGTATGAATTCTTTAAATATTTTGCAAATTAACCCCTTGTCAGATATATGATTTGCAAATATTCTCTCCCAGTTGGTGGGTTGTCTTTTCATTTTGTTTATGGTTTCCCTTGCCTTGCAGAAGCTTCTTACTGTGATGTAGTCTCACTTGTTTATTTTTTCTTTTTTTCCCTTGCCTGAATAGACATGGTAGTTGAAAATATACTGCTAAGATCAATGTCAAAGAGTGCACTGCCTATATTTTCTCTAGTACTACGTTGAATAGGAGTTGCAAGAGTGGGCACCCTGGTCTTGTTCCTGTTCTCAGAGGAATTGCTTTCACTTTTTTCCCACTGAATATGATGTTGGCTGTCGTTTGTCATATATGGCCTTTGTTATGTTGAGGTACTCTCCTTCTATATCCATTTTATTTAGTGTTTTTATCATAAATGAATGTTGGATCTTGTTAAATGCTTTCACTGCATCTATTGAGATGATCTCATGATTTTTATTCTTCACTTTGTCCATGAGATTTCCAAATGGATTGTTTTGTGGATGTTGAATCATCCCAACCTCTCTGGAATAAATCCCACATGGTGTATGATCCTTTTAATGTATTATAGCATTCCACTTGTTAATACTTTGTTAAGGATTTTTGTATCTATGTTCATCAACGATATTGGCCTGTAATTTTCCATTTTGGGTTGTCCTAATTTGGTATCAGGGTAATGTTGGCCTTGCAAAATGAGTTAGGAAGTGTCCTGCCCTCTTCAGTTTTTTGGAATAGTTTGATAAGGATGGGTATTAAATCTTCTTTGAATGTTTATCACAATTCACCAGAGAAGCTATCTAGTCTGGGCTTTGTTTCTTTGGAGGTTTTTTGTTACTGTTTCAAACTCTTTGCTGGTGATTAGTCTATTCCGATTCTCTATTTCTTCTTGATTCAGTTTTGGGAGGTTGTCTGAATCTAAGAATGTATCCATTTCTTCTACATTATCCAGTTTGTTGGTGTATAGCTTTTAATAGTATTCTTTTATAATCCTTTGTGTTGTCTGTTGTAATTTCTTGTCTTTCATTTCTGATTTTATTTATTTGAGTCTTCTCTCTTTTTTCCCTATTGAGTCTGGCCAAGAGTTTATCACTTTTGTTTATCTTCTCAAAGAATCAGCCCTTAGTTTCATTTATCCTTTCTATTATTTTTTTCTCTCTGTTTCATTTATGTCTGCTCTGATTTTAATATTTACTTCCTTCCTCTGACTTTTGGCTTTGTTTATTCTTTTGTTCTTTTTCTCATCTTTTAGGTATAGGGTAAGCTTGTTTATTTAATATTTTTCTTGCTTTGTGAGGTAGGCCAGTATTGCTGTAAGTTTCCCTCTTAGCACCACTTTTGCTGAAAGCCTGATGGGGTTCCTTTGTCAGTTATTTTCTTCTCTTCGGCTGCTCTTAATATTCTTTCTTTGTCATTGACTTATGTCAGTGTTAATATTTTATGCCTCAGAGAAGGTCTTTTTGAGTTGGGGTAATTAGGAGTTTTATTAGCTTCACATATTTGTGTGTCCAGTTCCTTCCTCAGATTTGGGAAGATCTCAGCTATTATTTCTTTGACTAAGCTCTCTGCTCCTTTTTCCCTCTGGGATATTTATAATCTTTATATTACTCTTCCTAATTGAGTCGGCATTCTGTCAAAGAATTTTTTCATTTAAAAAAATTCTTAGTTCTTTCTTCTCCTCTTCCTGGACCATTTCTGGGTTTCTATCTTCAAGCTCACTGATTCTATCCTTCATAATATCTGACGTATTTTTTATGCTGTGTGCCTTTTTTCCATCTCGTTAATTTAATTCTTCATATCTTGAATTTCTGTTTGGTTCTTTTTTAGAGCTTCAATATTTTTGGTGAAGTATGCCTTCTGTTTGTTAATTTTGTTTCTGAGGTCATTGAACTGTCTTTCTGAATTTTCTTGTAACTCGAGTTTCTTTATGGCAGCTATTTTGAATTCTCTGTCAGTCATCTTGTATTCTTCTATGACTTCAAATCTGGTTTCAGGAGAGCTGTTATTCTCCTCTTGTTCTGCCATGTTACTGTAATTCTTCATGGTGTTTGATGAATTGACCTCTGCCAGCACATCTGTGGTAATAACCACCTTTCTTATTTGGGTACAGCTTTGGTTACTTTGTTCCTGAGCTGCTTCTGCTTTTATTTGAGAGCCTGAAATTTCCACCCTCCATTACCTCTGCTAGAGGCATCATCAGTGCCTTCCTTGTCCTTCTTGTTCCTCTGAGGTTGGTGGTACCTTGCTGCTTTCAATGTCATTGCCATCTCAGGTGTTGCCACTGGGGTCACCAGGTTGTGAGCACTTCTGCTGCTTCTGGGGTTGCCTGGGTCTCATGTTCCCCCACTTGATCTCTGTAGGCTTTCCATGGGCTTGGGTGCTTCTGCTCCATGCACCACCTGCAACACTGCTCCTGGGTTACCTGGGGTGCTGGCAGCACTGCTTTCAGGGGCACCGGGTGCACAGGTGTTGCTGTTGCAGTTTGGGGCCCAGGTTATTGTTTGAAGCCCCTGCTGTTGGTAGAGCCAGTGTTGGAGTGCCCCTACTTGGGGCTGGGTCTCAGTTTCTGCTCTAGTTGCTGAGGCTTCATGTCACAGGTGCCACTTCTGGAGGAGGAGTAGGGGCTAAGCTGTAAGTGTTGTTGCTGCCCTGCAGTCTCTGGTCACTGGTGCCCACCACTGTGCTTTAGAGACCTCAGGTCAGGGCACCCTGCTCCTGCAGGTGGAATGTGAGCTCTGGTTGCTGTCCCCCCCCTGCTGGAGACACTAGTGCCACTGCTGGGATGAGGATGGGGCTGGGTTGCTGGTTCCGTTCTGTGTGATTAAGTCTCAGGACATCTGTCTCACTCGCCACCACTGGGGGGTGATAGGGGCCAAGACACAAGTGCCACGTTAGCCCTTTCAGCTTGTCACTGGCATGCACGCTGGTGTGAGGATATGCATTTTGGATCTCTGCCACCAGGGGTGTGGGAGGGGGCTGCTTCCTAGCTCCAATACACCCAGGAGGTCCAGTCCACCCACCTGCAGCTGTGTAGATGCATGGGCCACTCAGGCATTCTGATGAGCTGTGCAGGGAGTCCTTTGTTGGTCACTGGATGTCTAACTTGTTATAACATACGGGAGAGAGACAAAGGAATGACAAACTGCCATGATGCTGATGTCACTCCTGGTCTCACCTTTTAATTTTTGCTGAGGAAGATAAACCCTGAGTGAACATCTGTGCCAATCTTCCCGTATTTTGTATATGGGATGCTGCCACAGCATAGCTTGATGAGTGGTGAATAGGTCCCTACCCAGGATGCAAACATGCAAACCTTGGGCAGCAAAGCAGAGAACACAAGCTTAACCACTATACCACTGGGCTGGCCCCTGGACTCAACTTTTTGAAGGACAATTCATAAGACAGAATTGTTGAATTTTAACACTTGCTGTCTGTTTTGTACAGCCCCAGAGTTAAGAATGATTTTTAGATTTTTAAATGATTGAAAGAACCAAAAGAAAATTAATGTTTTGTGACCTGTGAATACGACTCAAAATCCACGATTTAGTGTTTGTAAACAAAATTTTATGGGAACACAGCCATGTCCTTGTGGTTATATGTCACCTACAGTTGCTTTTTTGCCACAAGAGCAGAATTGAGTGGTTGCAAAGAAGGTCAGATGATGACAAAGCCCAAAATATTTACTAGTTGGCCTTACAGAAAAGTTGTCATTTAGCACATGAAAGTGACAACTAGCAGGGTCTGAGAAGGAGTTCAGAGAAAACATCCAAGAAAAAGTTATGTATTTGCTGACACTTATAAAAAATGTAGGAATTAGCCAGGAGGGTGAGGGAATGGCAGCCAGTAGCAGAGAGCTCATAGAGAGTCTAATCATGGGGCAGAGATGAGAACAAAGAACAGGTGATGTAACTTAGAATCTACATGTCTCTACAGAACACAGTATCCTTCTGGTTAAGTCTGAGGATATTTATTAGTTACTTCAGTAGATTGGACCTACGAAGTTCCAGAATGATTTCATCAGTGCAACTGTATCGGGAGTCAGAGTTAACCATTCTCTGAGTCTGTTGTTTTACTCCTATGCTTCTAAAGATGTTCCTTTTCAGAAAAAACAAAAATAAACCCCAAACAGGACCAATGGCTAACATCACAAATAGCCATGTGACTTCAATCCTGAAACAAACCAACTAAAATAAATGTTCATACTTTTCCATTTGCTTTCTAGAATCTTTAAAGAAAAAAAGGGATACTATTGGGAAAAAAATCAGCATTTCTATCTCTGGACTCATTTTTCTCCCTGCAAGTACAAGCACTCTTAGGAATTTATACTTTACCCAAACTGAAGCAAGGTTTGTTAAGCATGTCTCTCTATTCAAATCATGTCTTGTCCTAAATTCTAAAGAGTGTTAGTGTCTCATCCCCACATCTCCCCCAGGAGGTAGTGCAGAAGTGCGAGTCCAGCCAGATCAATGGTCAGATGTACTGAGATCCTGGAGGTTGGCTGAGTAGTCCCCCTCAAGTTGTGCTCCTCTAATCACCAGAACCTGTGAGTAGGACCTGCCATGGCAAAGGGACACGTGCTGATGCAAGGGCGTTAAGAATCTGGAGACTGGGATATTATCCTGGATTATCTTCTTGGGCCCTATGTCATCACAAGGGTCGTTATTAGAGGGAAGCAGGAGGGTGGTAGCAAGAGGGAGAAGAAGGAAGGAAGGAAGCAGAGGTCAGAGAGGAGAAAGGATGCTGCACTGGTGGTTTTGGAGATGGAAGAGGGATACAGAAGGCAAGGAATGCACACAGAGTCCAGAAACCAGAAGGGCAGGAACACAGATCAGAACCTAAAAGAGGAATGCAGGCCTGCAGACACATTTTAGACTTCTGCTCTCCAGAACCAAAACAGAATAAATATGTACTGTTTTAATCCACTGTGTCTGTGGTTAGGGTATTACAGATTCAATAGGAAACGAATTTTGATAGTCTCAGTAGATTACATAGCCAGGGCCCTATCTCCTCTAGCTGCTCCCCCAGGGTCCACACAATCCTCAGATGCCAAAAGAGGGACATCAGTGCTGTCATTACACTCAGGTGGGGGCTTGTCTGTGTCCATTGAAGGGCATCTTCCGGCTGTACCAGGCCTCAGCCAAGAGCACCACCAGGACGAAGAGAATCAGGCCAGCCATACTCAGCCGGACTTGATTCTCTGCAGAAAGATGCCAAGCAGCATGCTCTGAGAGAAAAAGGAGAGAAGGGTACAGAAGAGGCATCAAGGCCCATTCTGCTAACGTACCCCAAACCCAAGCCCATTTCTCCAGTCTACTGGATCTGGCATGTAGCCCCCCCAAGCAGCACCCACAGGATAAGCACTTACTTACCTTTCATTCCTCCTGTCATAGTGGGCAGTGTGGTGATCTCATCAGGGAATTCTGGGGTCAAGGAAGACAGGAGTGAGGAACAAGCTGCCTCCAGTTGCCCTGTTGGAGCCCTGTCTACTCTTTCCTTGCTATTTCCCTATTTCAGCAAACAAGGACTGACTCCCTGACATACCCTGGGCACGTGAAGCTTCTCTCTACCTCATGCCTTTTGCACCTGCTCTTCCTTCTGCCAGCCCTGCTCCTTCTACAAATATCAGCAGTTACTCACCAGGCGAAGGTCCGGGGTTCGTGGGACCGGGATCGTCAGAAGCTTCTGAAAATGGGGTTGAAATGGGAGAGATTTTCTTTCTCTCTGCTCAGACTCTTCCACCCAGATTCCCAATGATATACACTGTCTTTCCCTGGCCCCTGGGCATGTGGTAGGAGGGCTGCTTTGGGAGTGAGGCGGAGTGAGTTCCTAAGAGCTTCTTGTCTAAGACGATGGTGGTGACATGGCCTTCCCACCATGCTGTCCTCCTTTTCCCAGTCCCTGCTCTATCTGGACACTATCCATCTCTGGGATGGGACATGAGGATTGATGGGCTGGGGCTTCCTCACCTGTGACCCAAAGCTGTAATCGGTCGCTGGGGTGAGACCACACATAGGGGTGACGACTGAAGACACCATAGCATCTGTAGGTCCCAGTTTGTGTGGAGGAGACTTGATTCAAAAGGAACACAGCCTGGTGTCCACCACCCTCAGGGGTGGATATTTGGTTCTGGATGATGTGAACTCCATCTTTCTTCATAAGAATAAATGCATCAAACTTGAGTGTTGAGAAACACCGCAACTTCACATTCTCCCCTGAAGGTGCCATGATACCAGTCATGCTTGAGAGGGAGGGTTTGTCATAAGCTCCTGAGAAAGAAGGAAGCTTATTGATAAAGGACTGGGTCACATACATGCATTGTCCCTTTTTGTTCCCCAGGAGCAGACATGGCTCTGGTTTCTATCCCCTCCTTGTCCTGCTGTGAGGAATCTGTGTCTGCATCCTCTCTACCCCTTTCCAAGGATAGATGTTTTTGTCCTCTGTGCTTCATATCTGCAACATCTGGTTCTTCCCTCTGCTAAGGGGTCAGTCCTGGCTCTGCTGCCCCTGTGTCCCACTCACTAGTCATCACCAGCTGCAGGGGGTCACTGAACTGGGACCAGCTGCCTCCACTCTGATAGGAACAGTGGTACAATCCTGCCCAGTATGGCGTCATCCCTGTGATACTCCAAGTGTTTGTCTTCTTGGACAGCAGTTGTTTCTCACTATCCAAGGGCTCAGGGCTTCTCACTCTAGACAGCACGTATGCTTCAGCTTCTGCAGGCCCTCGGCACAGGATCATTACAGGAGTCCCACGTGGAACCATAGTTCCTGGTACAGCTGTGAGAAGAGGTGGTGGGAGAGTTCCTAGAAGAAAAGAAACAGGTATGAACCTACAGGTGTGTCTGTTTCTTATGCCCTCCATCCACTTCTTCCCCTCTTACAGCCACTGGCCCAAATGTGGAGTCCCATCTTCCCAGCTGTCAAGAGAGCTGATATCTGGCCGAAACCAGGAGTAGGATCTTACGAGTATTAGGAGGAATACTCACCTTTCTGCGCCTGAGTGCTCTGGCCTAGACACAACCCTGGAAGGAAACAACGGGTGAGACAGCTCAGCCTCCTAGAACCGATGGACCTGTCCCCTGTAGCCTTGTATTTATAGCTGGGCCCTTCTCTCCCAGACTCACCAAGACAGAGCATGGAGGGAAGAACCATGGACATGGTCCTGATTCTATGCCAGCCTGCTGGCCCCAGAGGTGTTGCTCATATGAGGAACAGATTTCTCTGTATTGACAAAGACCTCCAGGAAGTGTGGGTGTGGCCCCACTTTCACCTGGAGAGCTAAGGCAATCCACATCCTCTCTCCTCCTACTTCCTCCTGGGTGGGGCTTGCAGGAATACATGACACATGAGTAGGATCATCATCTGAACTTCAAACTACAATTAGTCCAACTCGATCCCTGTTTTCTGTGCCCAGTGCCACATAAGCATTTTAATCTTTCAATATGATGCAAGGGGTAAGAGAGGCACAGGATATAGAAGAGGAAAGAAACCATTTCCAATCACAGGACTGCTCTGAAATATCATGTGAACTCATGGCCCTCCCTTCTTAATTCTGCATTCCATTTGCTATATACAAAATGGAGGAATGGTAATGAGCTCCTGAAGAGCTCTAATCACATAGTGTGTAAATTCTCCAAAATAGCGTTTGCTGGAGATTCAGTTGCATAATTATTATTCCTCCTCCCTCCCCACTTCTGTCTTTATTCCCAATGTAATGTCAGTGCTGATTCTTCATGGTTGTCAATTTTGAACCTAAAAGAGATACTTACATTAGGTTGAGTCCCACCTTTGTTCTTAAACCTTTCACACTGCCTGAACCTGATTGCACAGCCATGCCATCTGTTCTCCTGGATGAACAGGTAGTGCTCATTTAAAATTATCCCCTATCATACCTTCATGATACTGTCATCATCAAAAACCTAAAACAATTTATAGCCAATCTTTTATGAGTTTTCATTTTATTCCGGACGTGTAGATTACATGGAGGGAGTATGCATTTAATCTTTACAAAACTTATTACTATTTTCAAGTCAATTAATTATTTAGTCACCTGTGTAATCATGTTGTAAATCTAAACCTTTTGCAGGTAGGATTCCATGGGAGCCTCGGGACTACTGTGAGTGCCATGGAAGACAGGCTTTATTACAGAGATGAGAGTTTAGGCGATTGTGGTTGTAGATAAAGAAGTCTGGAGAAAGCCAGTGCCATTGCATCTGGTGTTCATTCTGATGTCACTAAGTCAGCCAGCCTGGGTGTTGAGAGGAAAAGCTGTATATGAGGCGGGGCAGGTCAGGGGCACACTGGAGCCCTCAAGGGAATTTGGGGGCCAAGCTCTCTTTCTCCATCTCCAACCTCAATGGTGTATGATGCTCTTCACCACAGATCTTGAAAAACGCTAATGCAGGTTCCAGCCTAGTTGAAGGAGCTGAGAGAGCTGGAGGAACGGTGGTTTTGGCTGTGGGCTCACCCCAATGGGTGAGACAAAGGGTCCCGTATAACATGTATGGGCTGCAACACACTAACCCTACACTTCACACACTCACCGCCTAGGGATAAACATGCGTGTGGGTTCACTTCCACCTTCTACATCTTGTGCCAATTTCTGTTGTGGTCATCCAGAACCAGAGAGGGAAGAAAATTCTAGGAGAGAGAGTTCAAGCTTAGCTAAATTGACATGGTGCAGAGCCACCATAGCTTCTCCTCATCAACTTGGATTCCATACACACATCTTTTAACCATTCTTCACTTTCAGATACAGCAATAGCAAAACCATGGTTTCACTGGACATGATGCAAGTGCTCTTTATGCAGCTAGACACATGCCCATCACCTCCCAGGAAGATATTACAAAGCCCTTTTATCTATCATGGGATACTATTCAGTCCTTTTCTAGTCGAATCATGCTCTTATTTTGATAATCTGTTTGGTAAATCACTGAGATATAACATTAACATCTAAGCCTTGACTTCAGAATCAATTGGGAAATTATGGTGAAGTCTCATTTTTTTAAGAGTAAGAAAGGATGGTGGTCATAGAGATGGACACAGGTGGGGGCAATGCAAGTGATACATGGAAGGCACATGCACCTTCATGGTGATCTTGACTGTCTCTGATTTATTTAAACTTAGTAGCATCTAATACCCATTTCTTCTTGGCCCAGGGCCCACTTTAGTATTGTTCCTGTGACATGGCCATGACTTCTTCCCCTTCTGAAGCAGTAAATGCTAGGCAGTCCTCTCCCCAGCCTCCATTCCATGAGATCCATATTCTGGACATGGATATATAAGCTGGCTTTGACCTGGAGCATCCATGGCCTCTCTCTGCCTGCAGGGTGCCGATGCTAGCTGAGAGCTGGTACTGCTGCGGGTGAGTAATTGCAATGAAATGAGGTTCCTGGTGTTGGGGTTGCATCAATGCAAGGTGAAGCACATTGAGGTCTGTTGTAGAAACAGCAGGGCCCACATCAAACCTGGTCTGTGGGGGATTCAGGCTGCAAGCTGAGCCTGGAGACTCGTTCGCCAGCCCTCTAAATGGTTTTGACCTTTCACACCGTTATCTAATACTCATTTTAAATGAATCAAGAGTGCAAGATTCCACTGATATCATCTAAAAACTATGAGATTTAATGAGTGGTTGGTTCTGGGGCTGATAGGAAAGGGAAGAAGTAAGGATGGGTGGCTCCTGGTTTTTTTATCTGAGTTGCTCACTGAAGGCTGGTGCTATATTGAAGGAGGGAATGAGCCTGCATGTTTGCATATGTGTGTGTGTGTATGTGTGTGTGTGTGTGTGTGTGTGTTGTACCAATGAAACATCTTCACTCACTGTATTACCTCTAATATTCTATGCCTGCAGGACAGAGGTGGGTCCTGGAGGACTGGCTGCTTCATATTATGGCTGCCAAACTTGTCTTAGTAATTATTTAGGGACTGCCTTTTCCTATTTGAAATACCTCCATGTTTACTCAATTTCATAAAGCAAAGTCTTATACTCTCTTTGACACTGGCCACCTCTTGCCAAAGACCCTGGTAGGGGTCCACATTCCCTATATCCACGGCTCTTAATTTATTTGCTTCTATGGCCTTTGTAGACAATGGTAGAATCGTACGTAGTCCTTCAAGTTCAGAAATAGCTCTTACTTGCACTAGGATTTCCCTTTGGTAGTCGTGTATCAGTAGCATCCCTCTAAGCTTAACATTCTCATCATCATGGCCTGGCCAGTTAGGCCCAGACAAGTCAGAGCCCCTGTGTTTATGTCCTGGGGTCATGGCCTGGGCATAGAGAAACGTGATGTAGAGGTTGTAGTTTGAGATGTCTGTGGCTGAAGAGAAGGAATTTCCCCAGGACTGAGAAGATAATAAAGGTTCCAACTCAGAGGAAAAGGCAAACAGGACAAAAGTTGTTTGACAGGGCTTTTCTCTCTCTGATACTAGGGAAAATATCCATATCCATATCTATCTATGTGACTATCTATCTATCTATCTATCTATGATCTGTCTATCTATTTTTCTGTCTGTCCTTCCATCCATCCATCTGTCTGTCCATCCATCCATGTATGTATCTATGAATGTATGTATGTATCTCCATAGCTCTGTATCTATCATCTTCTATCTGTCTCCATCCTCTAGAGCCACAAAGGGTACCCTTGAACACAGAAGTCACTATTTCTTGGGAGAACCAGCTGTAGGCACACGCCTTTGCATTTATTTCCTGTCACACTGTTTTGGCCTCAGCTTCTTGGGGAACAGAATATAAGACTGGATGATTTGCTTCTTAACCCCCCCTGTCCATTTTTATACACTCTGAGGACTAAGAATGTGTTTTGTACGTTTTTAAATCATTGAAAAAATCAAAAGAAAAATCAAAATTTTGTGACCCTAGAAAATGGCCTGAAATTCAAAATTTAGTCTTCCTATACAAAATTTTATTGGAACACAGCCATTCCCACTCATTTTTGTGTCATCTACAATTGCTTTTTGCTAAAACAAGAGAATTGAGAAGTTCACAGAGACGAAATATCTTGCAATTTAGTATTTGGCTTTTATAGAAAAAGTTAGCTGATTGCTGTTTAGAACATGACAGAGGCAGCTAGTAGAGTCTGAGAAGGCATTCAGAGAAAACTTTCTGGAAAAAGTTATGCACATGCATAATTCAATGGTTTTTAGTAAATTTACCAATTTATGTAACCATCACTGCAATCTGGTTTTAGAACATTCTATGGCCCCAATGAAATCTCAAATTTCACTTTATAGTTTATCCCATTGCTACCTCCAGGCTCAGGCAATCTACTTGGTGTCTCTATAGGGTTGAGCTTCTTGGAAATTTCATATTTCAGATTTCTTGGAATCATGATAGGTGGTCTTTTGCATCTGGCTTCCTTTCACTTGGCTTAATGTTTGCAGTGTTCATCCACGTTGTGGCACGTATCAGTACCTCATTCTTTCTTATTTATTTTTATTGATTGATTGGGATATAGATGACATATTGCATTGTGTAAGTTTAAGGTGTACAACCTGTTGATTTGATACATTTGTACATTGCAATATGATTACCACCATAGTGTTGGCCAGCACTTCCATCAACTCACATAATTATGATTTTTTCTTTGTGGTAAGAACACTTAATACCTACCCCCTTCACAACTTTTGAGTGCATAATACCATATTGTAACTATAGTCACTATGCTGTACATTAGATTCCTACAATGTATTCATCCTATAACTGGAAGATTGTATCCTTTGACCAACAGCTTCTCATTTCCCCCACCCCTTAGCCCTTGGCAACCACCATTCTACTCTCTGTTTCTATGAGTTTGACTTTTTTGGATTCCACATGTAAGTGATACCATGTAGTGTTTGTCTTTCTCTGTCTGGCTTGTTTCACTTGGCATAACGCCCTCCAGATTCGTCCATGTTGTCACACATGGTAGCATTTGGAAAGCCTATTTAGAAGCAGGCAGTTTAGAGGGTGGTTTTATTTCTCCCTCCCAGGGTGACAGTCTTGCCTTGTCCAGGAGATTCATCCACTCACTTGCAGAGCCCCGTGGCCTGGCTTACAGAGGTTTTAACAGCACTGGGCATTCTTTTGAACTATTTTTTATTGTGGCTTCTTATCAGTTCATCCAGTGCTCTTTTCTGGCCACATAATTCCTCTTTTACATGTCCAATCACCTTCTCAGCCTTTGTCTACCCCAGCAAAACTCACTTGCTCCAGCAGAAGTCTGTTTAAATCCATCCTTCTCCC